GACTTAGGAGGAAAAAGGAACCAAAAGTAAACATTACTGTGTCTGGGTTGTCGTGTACTGTCACTGTACATGAAATGTCAAACAGTGTAGTGCTCGTATCTCAAAGAGGCCTTGGAGTCATGTTCCAGCTCTTCCGTTACCTTATCAGTTGTTTGTAAGCTGAGCCAACTATTAATCTTTTCAGAAATAATTAAGACACTTTAGATGGATTTAATTATATTAAAAATAAAAATGTTGAACAAAGTGAGGTGTTAAAAATGAATTAGCTGTAAAACCTACCACTCTAGTCTCTAGACGCTGTTTTAGGACGCACACTGACTTTGATTATGGAAAGCCTTCTCCAAAAAGTAAATTAAGAACACAAAAAATTTAAAGCTTTGATAACATAAGCAGGTAGGCTACTAAATATAATAATGAAGGCTAGCTTTGCTGGCGATTTGCAACGAAAGTATGAAACTTGAACTTAAAAAAGTATTTCAGAGCTGCTTTAAAACAGATGAATTATTTTCTGAAATCCTTTAAATTACCAAAAAAGTAATACACTTGCCACTTAGTTTGATAATATTCGAATTAGCCTAATTCAATCCTTTTAGCTAAGCTGTGAAGCGTTCAAATGTAATTGAAAATGTAAACACAATCAATTTATTAAACTATTGGTAATATTTTCTCAACATTTTCGTGGAATAAAATCAATAGTAAAACAATTACTAGATCAGATTAGATCGGTGTAATATCACAGGAGGGCTGTTATCTCGAAGGAAGGACTGTAGTATCACCAGAGGGCTGGTATCTCAAAGGAAGGACTGTAGTATCACAAGAGGGCTGTTATCTCAAAGGAAGGACTGTAGTATCACAAGAGGGCTGGTATCTCAAAGGAAGGACTGTAGTATCACAAGTGGGCTGGTATCTAAAAGGAAGGACTGTAGTATCACCAGAGGGCTGGTATCACAAAGGAAGGACTGTAGTATCACAAGAGGGCTGGTATCTCAAAGGAAGGACTGTAGTATCACAAGAGGGCTGGTATCTCAAAGGAAGGACTGTAGTATCACAAGAGGGCTGGTATCTCAAAGGAAGGACTGTAGTATCACAAGAGGGCTGTTATCTCAAAGGACGGACTGTAGTATCACAAGAGGGCTGGTATCTCAAAGGAAGGACTGTAGTATCACAAGTGGGCTGGTATCTAAAAGGAAGGACTGTAGTATCACCAGAGGGCTGGTATCTCAAAGGAAGGACTGTAGTATCACAAGAGGGCTGTTATCTCAAAGGAAGGACTGTAGTATCACCAGAGGGCTTTTATCTCAAAGGAAGGACTGTAGTACCACCAGAGGGCTGTTATCTCAAAGGGAGGACTGTAGTATCACCAGAGGGCTGTTATCTCAAAGGGTGGACTGTAGTATCAAAAGTGGGTTGTAATCTCGAGGGAATGTTGTATAATGAAAGGGTTGTAATGTCAAAGGAGGGGCTGCAGTAGCATCACAAGTGGGCTGTACTCTTAACAGAGGGAATGACTGTAATATCACTAGAGGGCTGTTATCTCAGGAGGGATGTAGTATCACAATAGAGCTGTGTAGTAACAACTAACCTTTTTGTTAGTATAATTAGTATTGTGTTAAGCACGAACACTGCAAGAGAAACACTTTTTTCTGTGGATTGAGCATTATCATGTCCGTAAGTCTGATTTATTGTCTCATTCATATTGCTATTGAAGGACTTAAAAAACTTACTCTGGAAAAATATTGAATATGAGCCCACCTTTCTTAGTTCCCATCCAATATCCAAACAATAACAACTAACAGGGCATTATTAGTAGACCTACACTATACAACTTATTTTATGAAAACTGCTGTTTCCGGTTTTTCCCACATTTTTTAGTACCGGTGAATACAATTTACTTTCAACTTACACAGCGCTATGCAAAGACCACATAAGGAAATTTTAAGGATGCTGGGTAAGGAAAACTGGGAGACAATTCATTTCATTGAACACAGACACTGGACAGCTTCATAGTGGTTGACCTTCATGACCTACAGGGGACACGTGGTTAGCACTCAAACAACAGGTACATATTTTATAGATGGAATTAAAGTGCCATATCCATAAGTGCCTATATAGCTATCAAGGATAGAGATTGTTTCTCTTGTAATACATTTTTTTGCTCTTTCAATTTCCTCTCTTTCTTCCAACTGAGATCTTCTAACACACTATAGTTTTGGAAGACTCAAGAACAAATTAGTCCGATGTTACAGTGACGTGACAAAAAAATACAGATTAGGCAAAGATTTGTTTAGGTTTTTATTTAGTTAGGTTTAGGTTATAAATACAAATAAAACGTGAGGGTTAGAAATATTGAAATAAATTAAAATTACTTTGGTTTTCTGTATTCAAATGGTTTTCATTCTACGACCCTATATGCATATTTTGTTGCCGATGCGTCATCTTCACGGATCTTGCTCAATAAGGGAACACAGTGTCTCAAGAGAACTGAGACATTTAACAAGGTATTTACATTTCCCTTCCTGTCTAGTATTTAAACATTGAAAAACAGTCAATCATAAAACCATAGATGACAAGAGGATGATCAATATTAATATTCAATCATACAATAAAAATAACTATTTCTTATTTTTGTAAATGGTAAGATAATTATTTTGTTCATGATGTTACTAAGCCATACTATATTAAAAACAATACTTTAAAGGACCCGATTTCATATTTATTACGTGACAACTTCATGAAACTAAATAAATAATAAAACTGTAATATCAGTATTTTATTTGTATGTTGAGTTTGTTTACGCTGGGTCAAACATATTGTTTTCCCAACAAATTTAATTCTCAAAGTTTTGTTTCACTTTTGTTATATGATATCAGAACCAAGAATGAGACTATAAAATTACATTTCTGGATATAATAATCACAATACATGTGAAAATATAGTAAAAAAGGTTTTATTTAATCAAGGCCCATAATTCTACTTTTTGGATGTCACAAAAGGTTTTACAACTCTGACACGTACAAAGAGTTCCTGCTAGCAGTTTTTGCACAACTGATTCGTACAATAACTTTAAAATCTGATACCATCAGTGTTCCGTGGTGTGAATTGTATATTCTATACCACACCCTTTTGTCCTTGATCAGACCATTACTTGCCCTTCAGAAGGTAAAAGGGTGCAGATCTGACAAAACATCAACCCAAGCATCGTTAATTAAATGAACTTTTTTCAGGATTCGTACATGAAAAATCCCACAATATCATAATCATGAATCGAGATATTTATTTTTGTCAACTAAGAAAACAAAATAAAACATGTCTTAAGAAGACTTGGTAAACAAAAACTATTAATGGACCTAATTTTTACATATTTTTGATAGTTCAATGATTTATCTTTTCAAAAGTTATTGGTTTGTTTAACGTTTTAAAAACACTTTTGAGGGATGGAAATTTGAAATTAAAAATGAATATAGTTTTAGTTTAATTTTTGTCATTGTAAATGCTTTGAGACATAAAAAATCCATATCAATGAGAAAGCAGCGATTTGGTCGAATGCGTGGGTCATTGCCCCCTTGTCTTGCTTATTATACATTTATACATTTATTTATACATTTATTATAATTTTCTAATTTTCTTTGGAGAGACTGTTTCTGTGTACAGTTTTCATTGCATTTCCATACAGTTTAATGACGTTTTTAAACATCAGAGATTCCCTTCTTTTATTAACAATTTCAAATTTCTTGCCATTTTTTCTTTTTTTTTGCTGGGAAAAATGTCAGTGGTAAAAAGTGGCAAAAGAAATCAAATTGATTCATTAAGAGATTAGTTACAACCAATAAGTTCTCTATAACTCTATTAAAGGTTTAAAATGTACAGATAAATAAGTATTTAGAACTTAACTACTTGTTCACCACACAATATTATAATACAAAATTATTAACACTTGTTTTTTTATTTTTTATTATTTGTTATTGTTATTATTATTGTTACTTTTATTATTTTTTGTTTTTTTATTGCTCTAAAGTGCCAAATTTACAGGGTGTCCTGTAGGTGACCAGCCAAACACCGGAATATGGTTCTATGGGTAAAAACTAAAAATAAAGAGAAAATCAAGAATGAATTTTTTTCCAGTTAAACCACAGAGAAGTAAGGTACAGAGGATACACGCTTATGGGACAACAGTGCGCTTTCAGTATGTTGTGCTGGAATCATGTGACGAGCAAAGAAGAGCTTGAACGGCGAGCACTGTGCGAAATTTCATATTGCATTGTCATCCTCCACCGAGCATTGTTGTAGTAACATGATGACGAGGGAGGGTGGGGCTGGAATTTAAATTTGACCTAGCAAATATCTCAAATGGTTAAAAAGTTAGGAGGGGGTACAAGTTACTTTTCAGCTACCCTGTATTAAAAAAGGGGAAGATATGAATTTTTCTCCAAACATTGCAATTTCGTTTCAAATAGACAAGCACTTTTTAGTATGGCATACGGTAAAGCATAACAATATAAGTGTTTAATTGCAATCTTTAAATTTGCAATACATGTAAAATCTTATACTCATCATGTTTGGCATTAAATTTTATATTTGGCTCATTTTGATTGAATACAAGAAATATCTGATAAATTTATTTGACAGATTTGCTTCTTTGTCTTATTGTGATCAATCTTGGCTAAAAGTAGAAATTGTATACAGATTTCACAACATATTAAAAAGTTTCTGTAAGAATTTAATATAAAGACAGATAGTAAAACTAAACTTGATGTTGATATTGATTTTAAATCATCAATATCTCCCATTCTGGTTTTGTACATACACTTTTTCAAGCTTCAAGATTGAAGAATTCAGACGTTTTTAAAGTATTTTTCAAAACTATCATCTTGCGCTAAAGTTGGTGTTGCAAAAGAAATTTAGCCAACTATTTTTTGACAAATTCTCAATCATTTTTGTATACAAAAGTATGTGTGTTTTTGTCACTGTAGTTTTGAATAGGATTTGATAACAAATAAGCATTCAATAATAACCAAAACTATTTATTAAAGACAATTTAAAAACTAATTATATTCACAAGTTCATGAAAGATATGAAGCTACTTACAAAAGGTAAAATTGAATTCAAATGATGATTTTCCTGTACTAAACAAAACAAGTTAAACGATTTTATATTTTTGGTGTAGTTTATGAGTATATTTTTCCACTTACCATCTACTTAAAACACGTAAATTAGAGCCGTACCTAGATTCTTCATTTTAAAGTTTTTTGTATGATATTATGTAAAATAATTTGTACTAATGTTTGAAGATTTGTTGTTTGAAATTTGTTGCTTAATTCAGAGGTGTGCAAGAGATTACAAATAATGCTTTAAAAACTATAAAAATATACAACTCATCCACCGATCAAATTCATGCTGATCACCTATAAGTCATACAAAACTTAATACTAAAAGAAACAAAGTTTTTTTGTTTAAATTACTGTTTAAGGCAATCCTAATCCTATGATTCATACCAAAATTCAATACAAACACTTTTAAAAGCATCAGTAGGTGTTGATTAAACCATTCACTTTAAGATTTTGAAGTAGACATCCCATTAATATGAACCAGTTTTAGACTATTTTGTATTAAAAATGGAGGTAGTTGAATACTCACAGAGTGGACTGGTCTAAAATTAAATTTCCTCGGGTTTTTTTACTGAGATAGTTTATAGAGACCAAAGTTGTCCTTTTAGTCTTGGTTTCAAAAGACATCAGCACTCTGTCAGTGGCTTCAATTACGTACAGTAGAACCTCAGTAATACGATCTCGACTAGAACGGCTCCCTGCTTAATCCGACCATGCCATCGCCTATGAGTGACAATGTTATCACAGTATTATCGTGACTATTTTCCATGGCTGTTTGGACGTAATCACCGTCTCACGAAAACATATATCACCATCCTTCACGGCCGAGAAAATTAATAAACGTCTCTCACGGTCACAGGAACATTATCATTGTCTTCCGATATGGTGGACCCCTAGGTTAATCCCACGGTCTAGGAAAAATCATTATCATCTTCAGTGATTGTGGCAAAAACCTGAACATCCCCCACAAACGTTAGACATCATCATCGTTTCCCGCAATCGTGGAAACTATTGTTGTTACCTGCAATCGCGGCATACTCTTGAATATCTCCTGCGTTAAAAGGAACATCATCTTTGTCTTCTGCAATCGTGGAAAACTTTTGAATGTTTTCTACGATCACGAAAAACACCATCATTGTCTGCCGCGATACTGGAATATATTAAACGTCTCTACGGTCACAAAAACATTATTATTGAATTTGCAATCGTGCGTGTAAATATCAGTTAATCAATGAATGTAGACATTTATTATGCTCCTCGGGTAATACGACCTTTCCATTGTTCCGACCATGGTCCTGGTCCCGTAGGGGACGGACTAGCAGGGTTGTACTATAAATTCATTCTAAATCTGGTTATAGCTTTACCAGGACGTGATTGAGCCATGCAAACGAAATCATCTTGAAAATTAAGAAGTTAAACGGGGCAAAGCCCGCGGGTTACAGCTAGTCTCAGTATAAAGTAAGAAGTCTTTATGCGTGTTTCATGTTGATGCCATTGGCTCTAATATCAATGAAGTGTTTTTTTCTTTTCTTTTTGGATCGATTTTATGGTTTGTGGTTTACTTTTTGTTTATACAACCAGAGGAGCTTTTTTTAATGACATTACATGAATTAGTTTCTATTAAACTTGTTTTGAAATAAGTGAAATAACAAGAAATAAATAAATAAAAACACAACCTCAAAAAGAATCGGATTGAAACTAACACCAAAATTGTCTTCATCCGATCCACCATGATGAATCTATAAGTTGAGTATGTTTAACGAGTATGTTTTTAAGGTATAACTTACTTAAAATAGCTAAAATAACTATTGGATCTATGACGGGAACTTAAACCTATCGGGAGCTAAGACTCCTCTTCATCCATCGCCCTATAACTTCTTCCATTGATAAGTGTGGTATAGCACAAGAAAAAGCGGTATAACAATAGCAATAATATTCTTTTGGATATTGTTCGGGAAAGACCTTCTCCAGAAGGAGGGAGGTAAGGAAACTCTTTCCACTGTTCCCATTACACCAATCCCTGGTTTAAACATCAATGCTGTTACCATGCCTTAAAAACCACTTGTTTTGGTTCACCATAACTTCTTGCACACCTCTATGGCAAATAATATCCTATTTTATATAAATTAAACAAAAATACATGAAGGACAAACATTTTCGATACATAAAAACATCACAGACATTCACAACGAATGAGCGTTCTAAAGCATTCCAATTCGGAGGTATGTTCAGCTCAAAAAACAAAGACAAAATAGAGCAACAACATTGTAGGATATTTTTCTATGTACAAAAGTGACATTTTATGTACAAGTTTGTGAACTAGACAAGATCATAAGATTTTGATTAAGTTGATTTATTATAATATTTAACACATAAAATCTTGAAGGAAAATAAATATCATCTGCGAGTGAAAGTGACAAAAATTGTCACCTAAATGTTTCTAAAACACCACAAATCATGAGTAAACAAATGAATAATAAATAAATATACAACTAAAAAGTACTGTTCAATTTTAAATTACACCACTATAAAGTTCAAAAAATATTTTCCCGTTTGACGGGCCTTAATGAATAGAATGAAAAATCATTCGCGTTAAAAATATTATTGATCATATAAAAATGTGTAGTTCTGTATATGATTTGAAATTTAGAAATCTCTTTAAAATGCAACTCAGTAATCTAGGAATGTGACCTGGCTTTACAAGGTAATTTTCATGAGATTTACAGGTGATGTGAGGCGACTAACTAAACAGCTGTTCCGTGGCACGCACGAGGTCCCAGTTGTAAGTGGAGAGAGCCACGCGAGCTTGGTCCTCGTCTATTCCCATGTCTGTCAGGCGGTGGATCTTAGAATCAAACTCAGGGTTGCCGTTTGGTCCTGAAAACACAACACCCTTGACCATCGATAGAACTACACATTCCATTCCCGTAAAATAAATTGTTATCAGTTTGAGTTTCATAAAATGCAGTAGCTTCATAGGATGTAAGGGTTGGTTTAGAGAAAGGATAACATTCATGGCTTTAAAAGTAACATGGTCATGTTTGGTATAATTTTTCTTCTGTTTTCACCACAGGGAATTAAGGTATAGACTATAGAGGAAACTCGCTTATGGGAGAACCGTGCGTTTTCAGCTCTAATATACTGTGGGTAATATATTTGTAACAGGCAAGGTGTAATGGTATGTTCAAAATTTTCTTATTTATTGAAATCAATTATAAAAATCTCTTAACTACATGAAGTCACTAGAGCGCTCCACACACAACTTAAATCAAAACTCGAACGATTGGGGCAGCACTATACAGGACAATAAGCCAAGCGGAAAATCAAAAGCTTAGTTACAGGGGAGTCTCGTTTTGAGAGGAGAGACAGAGACAGAGTCATGTCTAATGATGGCGGTCGGTAGCAGTAGCTAGTAACTGTGTAAGTCTTTATCACTTGTTCTGAAGTGTGTCGAGGAAGGTGGCAGTCGCTGTGTGGTGTGTTATTACAAGAAGAACTATAAGACTTTACCTATAATCTGACATAAGTAAACTTAGTTTAGAACATCAAGAGCCAGTTTGTTGATTGTTGACCTGGTTTGGAAGATAGCCAAACAAATATTAAATTACTACGAGGACGAGTTTTATTGCTTTTACCACTCTTGACAACGGCAGGGAGGTGATCGTGGAGCTGTGGGACTGTGGAGGCTACAGGCATCTGGACTGGACTACGACTACAAAGACAAGACAACGAGACAGCCTACCGACACGAAGCCTGGGGAGCCATTGGCGGAGCTTTGGCGGGACGGCAACTTTGTTAAGCTAAGTGTTAGGTTTAAAATTTACTAATTGGAAATAAAAAAAGAAAAAAACTACACCATTACAAAGGAGAGCCTGACTGTGCGGAAACTACTATCGCATAGGGCACAAGGATCTTTCTATACCGTGAGCGTTGTAGTACATCAGGGTGAGGGGGGTGTTAGACACCAGCGACTTGTGCTAGACACCAGCGACTAGTGCTAGACCCCACTTCGGTGTTCCATTGAGTGTTTCCTCTGTACCTTGCTTTTATTTTAACCAACTTTTTTATTATGATGAAAAACAATCAACATCCCCAGTCACAAAAAATGTTATCGAGGGCAGTAGGGATGGAAGACTCAGAACAGAACACACATAGAAGACTCATGATTGAAACTGCTGCTTGAGGAAGTGAGTGAGGGAGGGTCAGACTAGGTAGTCAAGGGTCCATACACCAAATCAGTGCAAATCTAGGATACACCCAAAATTTAACCAAATTTGTCTTATTTTGAAAAATTTGTTTTGAATTGTTCAGCCAATGGTTAAAATTATTGATTTCAATGATGTATTGTCTTATTTCTTGAATTTTGTTCATAAATTGTTTGTTGTTGCATTAAGCTAAGTATCGTGTTTTCACTACTGATTAATTCCAAGATATATATATATAATGCAATTCTTCATTAAGATTCCTTCTTTCTAATTTTGTTCATACTGTAAAATTTTGACACAGTCTTAAGCCTAGTTATGGTTATGCGATAATAGGTCATGCTGAATATATTTTATTGCAATAACTTAGAGGAAAGTGAAGGAGTGCAGAAATCTGCTATTTTCAGTGAAAATAGCAAATTTTTTACAAGGAAACCTACATCTTTAAGAATGAGTGAAGTGAGCGCCCGATACTAGCAATTAAACTAGACCTATATAGTTTAATACATTGCCAGCTAGTACCAAGGATCTTGATCCCCAAAATTTTAAGCAAAAAATTGAAAAATGGCTATGCCCTGCCGCCAATCTGTAAATATTTAAATATTTAATTAAAGTTTTAGTTTTTATATTCTTTATGACGATGGACTGCACAGTGCTAGTTAGGCCGACTAGTTCAGTTTTGACTCAATCTATCCAGCAACTGCTGGTCAAAGATGAAGAAATGAAGAAGAAGTATGAAGTATGAAGCAATACATAATGGGGAACTACACTCTCTACGTCTATTGTATTCGTCTCACAACCTGAACCCACCTCCGGCATAAACAGCAGTCCAATGACGGGCAGTGAGTCTAAACATTTCGGGGTTCTCTTTGTATTGACGAGCGACAACAGCGTCCTGGGGATCGTCGGGCTCTGCGGCTGCCATCAAAGCTTGCAGTGAGAGCAGCACAGTGCGCAATGTTAGCGCTGCGGCCCTGCACATCAATGTGTGGATACATTGGCTCATCATCAATCACTAACTACTGTACGCTATAGTGGAATTTTCTCCATAGCATGAACTGAACAACACTTCAATATACAAAACTATTTGTTTTTTTAAGCTATACAATAGCACAGAAACCATGCACTCAGCATAGCAACGCTGGTGGCGCTGCCTACGAATCAACAGGCAAAGCTCTTTCAAAACACTTAATGCATTTTACCATGCGGTTGGCATTCTGGGTTATAGTAGTATGTTTTCTGTAACAATAGTTGCAATGAAAATTTTTATGTTTTGAGAAAAAGAGTTAGAAAAAAACAATTTTTGAACATTTAAAAACCCATACCCCGTTTCCATGACCTAGTTTACGTTGCTGGTTTACCCACTCATTCAAGTTTATCCTGCCCTACACTTTCAAGCCAAATTTCATCAAGACCGGACCAAAATTAATCAAGTTAGCGCATTTACCGACAAACACACACACAAATTTGAACAGATTGTGTTTTTGGTCTCTGGGTACATCAAAATGAAAAAAAAAATTCGAGTCCCAGGCCTAGGTCTTACCGTGTCACCTATGAATATCTACTTCCCTATGGGGAAATATGCTAAAAAAAAGTTCTTTTATGACAGAACTATCCAGGATTGCCACCCTAGGCTAGTAAAAAAATCGGAACATACCCCCCCCCCCTTCCCGGATTAACATAGGCTTAAATACGGGCATAAGGAAACAAAATCGAGACTATCCCGACAGAATCGGGACGGGTGGCATCCCTGGAACTATCCTTGTTTTTGTTTCCAAGATTAGAAAATTACAGCATAATAATTAAGTAGGCTAGTAATTTTATCTTCTATACATTTTAGTGCAGTAAAAATAAGAGAAAAATTCCATAAACCTAAAAAAAATTAGCACAACCGGGGAATTTGGTACATATGTTGGGTGTACCTTCCTTTTGAACATACTAAAAGTCCCCTAAAATTGAAGCTGTGCTACGGCCGCCATATTGGAAAATGGCGGCATATTTCAGTATTTTTCGCTATAGTGACTTTATTTTTAGAGATACAGGTAAAAGATAAATATACAAAATGTAGGTCATCTAAAAATACACATTTTTTGTATTTACCATCTTTCTCTAAACCCAACGGTTTTTGAGTTATTTGTTATTAAGTATATTTAGTTATTTTCTGTTTATCAAAAATAGGTGAAACACGTGGAAATTGACCGTTACTATCAAGGATTATGATAATTTATCCCATTTAGTTAAATAGTGTGATACTATAAACTCTAAAAATTTAAGCTTATTTTATAAGTAAAACTACTCTGCCACAGCAAACCTGCAGACTCAGCAAATTTCCATTTGATTGGATGTTTTATTAATTGTATTTAAATAAAATTAGATTCAACAGGAACCTAGGTTTGCTGCTATAGGTAGGTTATTATAGTGTGTTTTTTTTAGTAAAATATCAATAACTTAGTATAAAATAATAAATTTTCCAAGTTTGATCATAATAAATCTATAAACAAACAAACTGCAACAGTTAACTAATTAATAATAAAAGCATGTTAGCTTAAGATTTACAATTTACAAATTTAAATATACAAATTTTTGTTGTGTTTACTAAAAAGATTGCGATTATTCGTCACGATTCGAATACAAACCGAAGGGGTTTTCAAAAGGAGATGAAGCAAGTAATTAAAGTACTATAATATTAACTCGTACCAAGTATCGGAAATATTGTATGCAGTGAGGAAATCAACCATATTTTGTAAACTACGCAATAGTCATATTAATATTTTATACTCATTTTTACCCATTTAATAAATTAACATTTTAATATTTTGATGGCTTACCACTATCGCTCTGATATCAACTAAGTGGGATGAATAATTGTCGTAAACCTTGAAAGTAACCGTCGATTGCGATGGGTTTCACCGATTTTTGATAAATAAAACAAACTATACTATACCATACTTAATTAGTCACCAACATGAACTAGACACGAAAAACACCCTTCCAAATTTACAATGGGATGTCAAGTATAGTTAGTTAGTGTGGTGGTGCCATCAAAATACTAAAATGTTAACTATTAAATGGGTAAAAAATGAAGATAAAATATTAATATGACTATTGCGTAGTTTACAAAATATGGTTAATTTCCTCACTGCATACAATATTTTCGGTACTTGGTACGAGTTAATATTACAGTACTTAAATTACTTGCTTCATCTCCTTTTGAAAACCCCTTTGGTTAATATTCTAATCGTGACGAATAATCGCCACCTTTTTAGTAAACACAACCAAAATTTGTATATTCAAATTCGTTTATTGTAAATTTGAAACTCCCATGCTATTCTTATGAATTAGTTAGCTATTGCAGTTTGCTTGTTTATAGATATATTTTGATCAAACTTGGAAAATTAGTTATTTTACTGTAAGGTATTGATATTTTACTAAAAAAAAACACACTATAATAACCTACCTGTAGCAGCAAACCTAGGTACCTGTTGAACCTAATTTTATTTATATACATTTTTTAATAAAACATCCAATCAAATAGAAATTTGCTGAGTCTGCAGGTTTGCTGTGGCGTAGTTGTTTTACTCATAAAATAAGCTTAAATTTTGAGATTTTATAGTATCATACTATTTAACTAAATAGAATACATTATCATAATCCTTGATAGTAACGGTCAATTTCCACGTGTTTCACCTATTTTTGATAAACAGAAAAAAACTAAATATACTTAATAACAAATAACTCAAAAACCGTTGGGTTTAGAGAAAGATGGTAAATACAAAAAATGTGTATTTTTAGATGACCTACATTTTGTATATTTATCTTTTACCTGTATCTCTAATAATAAAGTCACTATAGCGAAAAATACTGAAATATGCCGCCATTTTCCAATATGGCGGCCGTAGCACAGCTTCAATTTTAGGGGACTTTTAGTATGTTCAAAAGGAAGGTACACCCAACATCTGTACCAAATTCCCCGGTTGTGCTAATTTTTTTTGGGTCAAAACATATTTTTACTGTACTATTTATACAAGGCCTAGTTTTAATTTGTAGCCAATAGAACCATATGGTGGGTTATGAATCGCTGAGTTGTGGTCTATCATGCATTGTCACAAGTAAAAGATTTTGGTGTAAGAGGAATCAGGACAGAAATCCCATGCTCCATGCACTAAACCAACTGCACCACCAATTTGGCTTAGTCAAATAGCAACAAGTCAAATACTGCAACCTCAGAGACTCATGAATCTAATAGGAATTAGGCTTAATTTTTAATATTCAGACACAACTAAAGTTAATAAATAGAACTCAAGTAACCTTACCACTGATCTTTCAAAATATCTAAACAAATCGCTCCTGTAACCGAAGATATATTTGGATGCCATATTTTTGTAATAAATCGAACCTGAAACAGACAAAGTAAAGTTTAAGCCCAACTATAAAAACATATTGTAATTGCTGATTTGTTGTTAGCTGTTACGCAATGAGTCCACTGCAAAAACGTTTATTCCAACACATTGTTTTGTTTCGGACACATCTGCATGTGGCACTTTGGTTGGCAAACATAGCTTTGATCTGTGTTAAACAGATTTTCAGCGTTTTCATCTTGTTATCTAACAGAGACAATTTTAAAGAGTTCATGATACATTAAATCCTAGAAATAACCATAAATGAACATCATGAAGTATTGGATTACAAGGACATAAAAATAAATCAAAGCAATCAAATACTTACTTTGGGTGGATTAAAAGGATATGTTTCTGGAACTTTAATCTCTAATATAAAATTGCCTCCCTCATAAGGAGTATCGGGAGGGCCGGCAATTTCTCCTTTTAACTCAGTGTAGTTGTCATCCACTAGTTCTACTCGAATTGCACATTTCGCCATCTGGAAAGAAGGATCTGTTGATTGATTTTTGTTACATGTTAAATTTACTGACTATTAAAATTTAGATTATTTAAGAAAAAATATGTACCTAGTTTCAATTTTTTAGCAGCTGTAAAAAATCATAGCTAAGAGGTTCTAACTTTAACAAGTTTGGTTAGTTATGTTAAGTTAGTTTGGAACGGTTTCATTTCTCCATAACTTAGCCTACCTAAAGGCGTGTTTACACCAAAGTTGATACAGTGAAAAGTTGCTCTTAAAAATTAGAGCCAACTAAGTTACTGTAGAGGAAAATTTTTTTCTGGAAAAATAAAAGTCACTCTTCTCTAAATTGGAGCAACGAGAGGAAAACTGGTTACCAATGAATTGCCACAAAATAGGCAGTAGTGTCAAGGATGTAGGACGAAGACATGATCATTGCCGTGGCTACCTGTGTCATAATAGCCAGCTCTACTTGACAAGAGGTTCATAAGATATTAGGTGAGACCCTCGTTGATGCCTGCGGTTAGGTAGGCTATAATGGCAGTGACATGATAGCTTAAGTTATCTCCAAGAAGATGACATCGATCCATTAAGTAGTGAGCTAAGGTGCGACGGGAGTGTCCAAACTTTCTGAGAATGAAGAAGTGACTTGGAATAGTATATTTTATTTCATCGATCGGACAGAAAATCAAGAAGTGCATAACTTAGCGAGCAGGTTCTATATTTTGGTTCCTTATGCCCATTTAAGCCTAGATGTTAATCCGTGGAGGAGGGGGGCCATGTCCCGATTTTCCCTAACATAACTTAAGGCGGCAACCCAGGTGGAGAGGGAACAGATCTAAACTAGTTTTCGACAAGTTGCGCGTTGCAACAAATTTTACGCTTTAAGATGTCAACGTCACTTCGCGAGAAAGCAAAGTTTAGTGGAAAACTTTTATGTAAATGGAGATTTACTTGTGAAGGATACTAGAGCTAAAGCAAGCAAGGATACAGGTTACAGGTACGCAGAGGATACGCGTCCGGCAGTTACTGTCATAACCTAACCTAACCAACCAAACTTGCTGATAATGAAAAAAATCAAATGAAGGTTCAATTCTCTTCATAACATAAAATTATAAAATGCAAAAAATTCTAACAAAAGATGTACAGTTAAGAAGAAATTACATTCAAAGCAAAATCTGTGACAAAAAGTTAAAGAAACCGATGGGTTTCGAACCAGGGACCTCTTGGATATCAGCCGAGCACTCTATCCACTACACCACGAACAACGCTGGACGAACATCGTATCGTTGTGGTAATGGCGTTCCGGGACCCCACAACCCGGTGACTTCACTACCGGATGCCTAATCCACGTCTGGTTACCAGACGCGTACCGGTATCCTCTGTTACAGGTAACCAAGTAACTTAGGGAGTAACTTATAACGGGCATGACAAAACAGGTAAAATACCTAGGCCTAACTTACTGTTCCTGTTTTAGTAAGCCTAAGCCTTTTTTGGTCTTCACTTTTCAGCATTTAGGCTGAATTAACACTAAATATAAATATTATGGCATTCAGGCATGACTAAGTAGTTATAACTAGGCAAGGCCTTAGCCTAAATTACTATATTTAGATCCTATAAACTGATTATAAGGACGGAATTTTATTGATGGACATTTTATGAACAAATAATTCAAAGAAAAAATGAATTAACAATAAAGGCCTATGTATGATAAAGGATAGTGAAGTTACTATCCAAACACCTTACCTCCTCACTTTTAATAACATCCTTAAATTCTCGTTTGATTCTTTGAGCTGCTATATTAGCCATTTTATTTATATAAAATGTTGAATAATTATAAGGTCAAGGAACTATCTCATTTCATTAGTAAGTGTAATTTGATTTATAATGAAATTTTCACTTATAAGATACTTTTCTCACTACAAATTCAGAATTTTCGCTTCTGCACCTCTGGACTGGATGAGTGGAGTGGTGATATAAAAAATTGTAAAGTGTAAAAATAACAACGCTTTTCAACATTGACAAGAGCGATGGAAGAAAAGAAGGAAGACCATCTGCTCTGCTTATTCAGCACAAGGTTACCAAAAACTAATAATTTTACGGTAGTTGACATAGACAGTAAGTACAGACTTCACATGACGTCATAGGAGCGTAAGGCTAAAGTTCTAAAAATTTTTCCATTTTGTTATTTTACAATTATATGACGGGGTTTTAGTGTTTTTTTTTATTGTTGATGGTAACAATTATTTAGTACTATATCAAGAAAACAAAGGAGTATGCTTAATCTACGATTGTTATCACCCAACCAACCATCATCAGTGATTTAAATTTCCTTTACAAAATATCGCAGTTCGCAGTTGTGTTCTTTTAAGGCCTGCACACACCGGAGCGGTGAGAGCGGTGGCGATATTGGCGCGTTTTTTCATCTCCTTCACCCACCATCACCACCGCGGCGTTATCGCTGGGGCGTTCACACTGGAGCGATTCCACACCGCTGCGGTGACAGCATTCTACAGTAATTTTTCGTTGTCATTTATGAGTGTGCAGTTAACAAGTGCAATGTGTTGTTATTTAGAAATATGACAGACGAGAGGAAGAAATGTGGCTATTGTTAGCTGTGTACCTGAAGATGACGAGTGCAAAGATAGGGAGTGGGTACATGACATCAACAAAAGGCGATTTGAACATTGTGAATACCATACATTGATACATGAACTGAGAAAATATGAGAAACGTCTTGAGACATATATTTCAGAATGGCAATTGAGTACAAATAGATATTTTCGATCAGAAAGCTTAGCTGCTATGTCGGTTGCTTGGAGTTCTGGGGCCCATTTCATAATAAACTACAAGTTACAAGTTACAACTTGTAACTTGTAATTTCCATAAGATTTGCATTGTGCGATCAGCTGATTTACTAATAATATTAGTTTGTACTTTATTATGAAATGGGCCCCTGGACACAAAAAAACTCGTCGCACCGGCTCCGCTGGGCGGTGAAATGGAACATGCTGCATCTCGGTGGTGTGGTGGTTCGGTGGTACCTACGGGTGATTTTTCTTGTATTTTTTGTATACCGCTACTGCTCCGGTGTGGCCGCTTGCATTTACTTCCATTGTACTAAATCACCGCGAGAATATCGCAACCGCTACCACACCGCTTCGGTGTGTGCATCCCTTTAACGGGAGATTTTGTTTTTTCCTTCCACCATGGGGAGATTTTACTTTGTAATACAGTATCATCAAGGCCACCTTAAACACCATGGCCACGGCCTTCGAAGTGGCAACGTCCCAAGTAGTGTTGTAACAGCTGTTTTGTTTTTATGGTAGTTCGGTAGTTGTATATGTTTTAAAAATACGAAAGCTTGGTTACTGGGCTATGAAAATGTTGACTCCAATTTTAAATGTACACACATATATATCCAATTTATACTGTTTTGGTTTTCAATTCTATATGTTTTATTTTCAATCTTTTAATAATTTATCTTCATAAATTTAAATTTAAATGAATAATAAAATATTATTGAGCTGGGGCCCATTTCATAATAAAGTACAAACTAATATTATTAGTGAATCAGCTGATCGCCCAATGCAAATCTTATGGAAATTACAAGTTACAAGTTGTAACTTGTAACTTGTAGTTTATTATGAAATGGGCCCCTGGTGTCACCTCTACCTGCCATGTTATCTTATGGGACGTATATGTCGCTAAACAAACCTACTTGCGACGTTACCAATTAATTGTACCAGGCCGCGGCCTGTAAAGTTAAAGGTGGCCGTGGTATCCGGTGGTATCATGTTCTATTGCACTGACTTCTTATAATTGACTAGAAACTTTTATTACGGCATAGTTGTGTCCAGTACAACAATCCAACATGTCAAAATCTCTTCAATTTATTTTTTCATATTTTACTTCTGTAACAATGAATACAATTAATTTGAAAATATTTTGCCCCTCCTCTGGTATTGCAAACAAAAAACAAAATTATTTTGGTAGAGTTTACCTCAAAATAAAAAAGACATATTCACCATCAATCAACGTGAACAAACTCAAGCGTTACTGGACATGAAATACTCTCCCAAAGAGTTCAATACTAACATACTAAAGATAGTTTGATTGGAAGTAGACCTTTCATCGTTTTACTATTCATAAAGAAATGTATATAGATTAATTTTATTTAATTATAAAAAATGTAGAGAGCTAATGTGTTTTACCATAGATAAAACCATAGAGATAAAACCCTAGATTAAACATACTCCTTGAGGTGATAAAACCAAAATAAAACATACTACCTCAGGTTTTAATAAATATTAGCATAGACGAGCTAGACTAACCAAGTTCGCTTTATCTATGATATTAGCATACTATAACCAGGGTAATCTATGATTTTGGGTACAAAGTACTAAAAAAAAAAGTGCGTAACTAATATCATGATCATTTTTATGCCAAAATATGTAAACACGAGGTGCAAAACCATCATAATAATTCACATGAGTTTTAGTGTAAACATATGTGGGTACGTATTTTTCTTTCAAAATAAACAATCTTTAGTACTTGAAACGGAGTTATAGGAAAGTCATTATGGAGTAGTTGATAGATAGTTTATTTTTGTCGAATTCAAAATTACTTATGAAAAATGCACAGAGATACTTTTTATCTATGTGGATTCGCTTGTTATGTTGCATTCTACAAATGTAAGTTTAATTTACCTTCTTTATTTTTAACGTTACTTAAGTAACAGTTTTGTTGGACACAAAAAACATAAGGTACTTTTGTCCCAATTAACAAATATTTAATTAGGTAAACAGAATAAGTTTATACTTAAAGATAACGTACTCACTCTAATTCTAGGTCAAGTTTGGAAACTCTCAAACTTGCCACGTTTTCCAACTTCCCTTCAATTAAGTTGCTGGGTGAAATTGTGTTTACAAACTGTCAACATTGTATTTAACATAACCTTGTTTTTTGTTGTTGTTGTATTGGAGGAGAACCACGCGAATATACTAGTTTCAAATATTCGTGGGGAGAACCGACTCTGGGAAATAACTTACGCTAATAATTCATTGGATTACATTAAAATAATTTGACATATTATTAAATAAGTTCTCATTAATATTTTTACGTATAGCTAGGTTATCGGCGTAAGGGACCAAATTATATGGTCACAAATATCACTCTCCATAGTCCACTTAATTTCTTGGACTCTGCGTACCCACCCAACTATAAACCAGGAAAGTACAAACTACCCTCAGCTGTCAAACGGGCCAAATTAAAATGCCAACACCCCCAGTGCAAGAAATGAAACAGAACAGAGGAAGAGACTCCGCCACGTGTCCGTCTTCACGTTGTGCGATTTACCCGACCGCAATATAATAAATCAAATGACCACGCGTGTGTAAATATTTTAGAAAATACGGTATATATTATATAGTGTTGCGTGATCAAAGCAGGCCCACTTTTATAAACGGGCAGACTGGGCATATGCCCAGGGGCGCTGGAGGTATGGGGGTGCCCACCGGGTGCTGGGTGTTTAGGAGAAAAGGGGGCAGCATATGTAATATGAAATAGAAATGTAGCATATGAAATAGAAATGTATTTCCTTCCCCCACGGTACCCGAGGCCTTAGTGCAACAGCTGTTTCGGAAGGCCGGGACTGCGGCGTTGCCACTTTTATCTCGCTACAGACTTGTAGTGGAGGCAGGAGGCTATGTTTCAACTATAGAATTTTGATTGATATTAGTTAACAATAAAATAAATACTGGTTATAAATGGTGATTTGTATACATTTTAATCGAACTTTACGTAGTGGTTTGAAAACATCATAGCATCATGTGCAAACGGAAGTCGAAGATACTGAGATTTCATTGGATGCATTTTTTTCTTTTGTTTTTATTCCAGTAATGCCTGGCTTATCGGACGCGATACGTGCTAAGAGTTTGTTGAGAGCTAAATCAGACAAGTACCTACCTCTAGAGTCTAGGATGCCGAACATCAAAGTTTTCAGCGGGTCTTCTCATCCCGATTTAGCGCAAAGAGTGGTTGATCGACTTGGGATTGATCTGGGAAAGGTGGTCACCAAGAAATTCAGTAATTTGGAAACATGGTAAGATGTCTTCTTTTCATTACTTTATTTAAACTTAATTATGTAATGTTGGCTACTTACCTGCCAATGTTAATGGTTTTCGCCTAATTATCACGTGTGTTGTTTGTACCTCTTAAGCTTACTTAGAATAATTTATTTCAATCTCCCAATAAGTGTACTATGACATATTGGTTTAACTGGGTGTAGCCTACTGGTTTTATATTGCTCTAATTGGTTTGTTAGAGCCTAGCCTACATGTTAAATTAATCTGCCATAACTTGTTATGTGGTTGTAGATGGTATTCTAGGGCCTTAATCCATCATTGGGATTCTTTTAGGTAATTGGGCCTTTGCATTATTAACTTAGCTTATAAAAGTAACCTATTAAAATATCAGGGCTTGTTTACGCCCCACATTCATTCGATTAAAACTATCGATACGGTATATCAATTAGCCTACTGTATTTCATTCGATTGTTTAATCCATTTTTTATCAATTTTCCCTACTTTTTTATCATTATTTTTTTTGTATCTTCAATCAACTTCAATTTCAATTGAGTTTACATTCAATATTGAATGTAAACTAAAGTGAAGCCATATCAGTTTAAAGGTTTGTGTTTCAAAACCGAACAATAAGTAACAGTGTTTAGGAAGTTTAACTGAAGGGAGGGCCGGGTACTCCCTAATTTTATGCTTGCCAAGTGGGCCTAGGTTAATTTAAAAGTAGCCTAGGTAATTTAAGTTGAAACTCATCTCAATTAGCCTAATGTTTTCATACTGTATATATTCATTTTTTCAAAATTATTTATCAATAGGCCTGCTCAGAGAGGGGTTATTTAACGATAAACCCCATGAACATGTAAACATATATAGGAGTAATAATTTGATAGAGTTTTATCTTTTGATTATAGTTATATACAAAATATAACCAAAGAAATCTATAACGGTCTCACAGACCAAAGACACCAAATGTGTGATAAAAATCATGACACCACTCTAGGGTTAAAACTCATTCAATCGATATATTTCTATATCTAAACTTTTTAAGTTCTTTCATCCAGAAGACACAACCACTGCAGCAAACCAGCAGATTATCGGCATTTCCATTTACCTGATGAAATTTTCACTAAAATATTTCTGAAAAGTAAATGCCTACAATGCACACAGTAGGCCTATAGTTTTTCTTCCGCTTAACCTACCTAATATAAGTTACAAATGCACTACAGCAACAAGATTTTTTTTAACTTTCATCTTGACGATGAAGCTTGGTTGGTACCGGTATACATTTGTTTGTGGTCTAACCACCTGTTCATAACCAACCACCATTGCAGTTAAGACCATCTTCGAGAATAAGGAATTCTAAGAAATGTAGTTGTTGCAAGTGAATGATGAACTAACGTTGAAGTCAAGTGGGGGAGAACTGTTATCTATATATATAAAGCTCAAATACCACTGACTCATTCACTCACTCATTACGAAATCTCAGAAACCATAAGACCTAGGAACCTGAAACTTGGCAGGCATCTTCCTTTTGGGTAGTAGACGCTCACTAAGAAAGGATTTTACCCTCCGACCTCTGGGCTCCGCCCCAGTGGCTCTGGAGTTTCCCCTGTTAACCTTATGAGTACTCATATTTAAATGGAATTAATGAATCTTAACAGCTGTTTCAATGAAACAAGTTGGTTCTTCTATGATGTTCAATTGCATTAAAGTTACAAGGATTACCAACAGGGTGCAGCACTATTATTTCTTTTACATTTATGACAACAGCTAATTTGCAACCAAAAGGTGAGTGAGCGTAGCGAACGAACTTCAACCTGGAGGCGAGTTAGCAAAGCGAACGAGCAAACCTGAAGGCAAGTGAGCGCAGCGAACGAGCTCTAACCTAAAAGTGAGTGAGCGTAGCGAACGAACTTCAATCAGGACGTGATTGAGCCATGCGAACGAGCTCACTTATGAAGTTAAACGGGGCAAAGCCCGCTGGTACAGCTAGTAGCCTATATTATTATATCTGTTAGTCTGGACTCATTAATTAATTTTATTTCTATATAAAGCTGATTTAATATTTACAATTCTAAGATTAAAAAATGAATAAAAACAAGACTTTATTTTTAGTTCTTACAATTGTATGTTATAATTATTTAATTCAATAAGTACGTAACAAAAAACAAATCAAGGTACTAACACAGGGAAGTAAGATACAGAGGAAACATTCAATGGTACACTTAAGTCGTGTCTAGCACCAGTCGCTGGTGTCTAGTGCAAATTCTATTGGTCGTCCCCTTCCGCTCTCCTCTCCCCCTCACCACCACTTACTACAGCGCTCACGCTGTAGGAAGAACCCGTGTGCTACAACTGCTGTTGTAAACAATAGACATTTGGGCTCTTCGTTACTCGGTATACTAGTATATTTCCGCCCCACCATTCCATAGCTAAAAGCGCTTGGTTGTTCCATAAGCGAGTTTCCTCTGTATCTTGCCTCTCTGTGGTGCTAAATTATTTTTTTTAGCTCTACAAAATGGTTTAGTCAATGTTTTTAAATAGGGTAATTCTATGTTTTGATGGTCAAAAATGAGGAAAACCAATTTTCACCCCTATATAGGCCTGGCCTAACCCCCATTAAACTATGTTCCCATGGTCCAATCATGCTGGTTCACAAACTCGTTTGATTAAACATAGGTTTAAACACTTTATACCAAATTTCATCATACCGGTACTGGGATTATTTTAACATGGCATTTTTGGTCTCTGAGGACATCAAAAAGTAAATCGGTCTTGGGTCGAGGTCTTATACTATGAGACCTACGGTAATAGCTTATTCCTTACATTGGAAATCTGCTAAAATCAAAATTATTGCACCTTATGAAAGACGTTAAAATTATGCTTTTCACCAGTTAATCTATACTATTATACCTTTATAAAAATGTACAGCCTTCGTTCCACAGATCAAAGGGAATAAAACTAGGCCCACATTTTAAAGTCAAGTTTCCTTTTACTTTCTTTTAAGGTAAGGCCTGTGGCCTGTGTACGCATGGTTTTCATAGTTCAGTTATTTTTCATGTCAGTCTCATACTACTTAGGTTGTTAACATTATTGACTCATGTTTACAGTGTGGAAATAGGAGAGTCAGTACGAGGAGAAGATGTTTATATAGTACAAAGTGGCAGCGGAGAAATCAATGACAATCTGATGGAGCTTCTTATAATGATCAATGCATGTAAAATTGCTTCAGCTTCAAGAGTCACAGCCGTCATTCCATGCTTCCCCTACGCCCGACAGGACAAAAAAGACAAGGTAAAATTTTGAGTAATATTGAATTATAGTTGTTTATTATTCTTTTTACAGTTATTTGGGAAAAATTGAAGTTTTAGTCTTGTCAAATTCATGTAGTGTAATACATTTGCAGAATTTCTTACTACAATTATGTTGTATCTCTCAAAGAACAAGTAGGCCTACCTAACTAGTTTTAATGCAAGTGGGTACCATAATTAAATCTAGTCTTAAATACAGCGGCTTTCAATAAGCTGTGATACATTCATTCTAAGTTACATATGTAAAAAAATTCATCCCTACTATCTTATGTTTGTACTTAACAAAAATACTAGAAAAATTTCCTTAGGTGTTTAATCTACACTGTTAAAATGCTATTTATGCCATTTATGATACTTTCATAAAATAGGCAACATAAATTGTAAGAATTAAATAGACAAATCATTAGTGACTGTCAGTTATAGCAATGTAAATCAATAATATAAATAAAAGCAGAACCAAACGACCTAAATTAAAAGTAACCATTGAATTTGATGGTATAAAGAACAATATGCAAATTATTAGAACTACCGATTTTTAAATCATTTCATTTGATTGGAATCCAAACCCCATTTTAATTGGGAGGATGATATGATGTTGCTCAAGACAGTGGATAAATCAAACATTAAACTACATTGGCTAGAATCATATATAGTGAGTGAAAATAATTTGGTTTTGTATAAAAAATACACCTAATTTATTAAGAAAAGACTAGAGAAGCATGATGTTTGCAAAGTTTTTGGGTTTTACTTGGAGGAAGGTTGTGTGCTGATTACAAATCATTCACCTCTGGCTTTGTCAGACAGAGATTCAAGGTCATCCAGTTGGCTGCAAAGGTCTTTATACTGAGGGCCCAATGGTCCCAGCCCCTTTTTTGCTCTCCAAACAGATTAAAATCAAAAGAGGCACATTCCTTTTTGTCCCTTTTTGGTAGAGGTTGTCTATTTGGTGCAGGGTAGTTTTAAAATGTTATATTTTCGTAGTTTTCAATAGGAAATATAAACTTCTTCCTTTATTATTATTGTTTTTTATATATTTTAAAACATTTCTACTGGTAAATTTTAAGTAATTATTGTGTTTTCATTTTTTTTTACAATTTTTGAAGTTTCCTAAATATTTTGTTGATTTACATTGAGGCCTACTATTTAAATTACAGTACAATTACATTAAATAAGAGTATATTAATTCACGTTCACAATTTTTGACTTAACTTGTAGGTTTGTAAACTGTGTGTGGAGAACATTATATGTAAATAATATGTAACTTGTTATTTAGGGCATTGATAAAGTGTAGGCAAAGTTATGATGAATATTTGATTAAACACTTAACTAAAATGTAATTAAAAACTGTTATATGTATTTCTTCTTTTTTTAATAAATTTTCATATACTGGTACGGTACTGAATTACTTGGAAATTCCAGTCCAAACACAATACGTACAGATAAGAAACCAATTTTAATTTTTATGGTTTGTAAAAACCTTTGAGTTGTTTTTTGTGCCATAATTTTGCTTGAAATATAATTTGAACCCATAATTTGATTTCAAAGTATATGTATTAACTGATTAAAATTCTAAATTGAGGTCACTTTAAAAGTTAATAATACATTGTTGATTTCAGTTTTAAAAACATGATTTCACAAAACAAGATATAATTTTAAGCAAATATTATGGTATATTTGTTGTTGTTTAATCTTGAGATAATTTTTATTTCTTAACATGTTGATCCAGAATCATTTTATTTACAACAACTTGTTGACTAGTTGTTTACGTAATTATGACATGGGACTGTTTCTGACGCTAGAAAGTTTCTTTTTAACAACCATATTACGTCATAAGTTTGATAAAACCCAAATAGAGGCTATCTTTCCTTCATTATAACTGATATTTTTTACATACATTCATTTCTTGGTTGTTAACATATTGAGGAATTAATGTATCTATATTGTACAGGCCTGATTGTAAAACATCGAAACAGTTAGTTCTATAAGCCTACTGATAATGAAGTGACTAAATACAATAATAAACAGTGGTTACAAAATATACTTTGATGCACCAATATACTATTTCATGACATCATAGCTCTGTAATATCACAAACCTTATCACATTTGACTATAACTACTGACTGTAATTTCCGCTTAATAGTCAATTGGCCATTTTTTGATATTGGAAAGAAGTGAAATCACAAATCCTAAAAATAAGTAAAACGCCTACTTTACTCAATTCGGTTTTTTTTTTGTTTTTTTTTTATGCCAGTGGCATTTCACGAGAGAGTTACGTTAGGTGTGCATCAATATTTTGATATTATATGTTGTTTAAGAGCTCAGTTTTATTTCTCTGTTATGTTAGTGTAAGCTACTATAGTTCGGCCGCTTAGAAAGCGACCTCCTCCAGCATTGGTTTAGCATTAGCGCACAGGTCGTTTTCTAAGCGGCTGAACTATAGTACATTACTAACATGGACTGAATGTGGTTTTCCACCCTGACGTCAGAGAGCCAATTGGTGACTTAATTACGAGCTTTGAGACAACAGATCAATTAAATACTACTTCTTAGCCCTGTTAAACAGACAAGCTATACGATAATATTGACAGTTGGTAGGGCTACTAACAAAGTATGACTATTAATCTATTTAAATGCTGTAGGCCTTCTATTTATTATAATTATTTCATAAATTATTCTTAAGTTCACATCAAAAAATTTTCTCCAAGTTGATGAATTTCGATAAATGATCATTCGTCTTGCTCCTATATATTTTAATGGTTTTTGATGATTATGGATATTTTGTTTTAGGCAATAATAGGTTAATGGGTTTTAGAAACATGAATATTGTAACGTACCAAGTAGCCAAAACATAATTTTAAAAGTTTTGGCTGCTTAGTCTTAAGTTTCCAGGATTCTTATTAAACTTTTAGGCGTTACTAGCAGTTACCCGGCGCGCGTTGCTGCGCTAACAACTTTTATTTTAAATGGTAAATTTGTTCTTTACAATCTATATATTTATATATTTATTAGATGTATGAATATATAAGTTTTTACTTTTTAAGTTTTTATGTTTACATATTTTATACAATTTATACAGTAGTTTTTATACAGTAGGGGAGAATTTAAACGTTGTTGAGTGCACAGGTGTGCTGCGATTGGGGTTTAATATATTTGGACTTATCTAAAAGTAAAATAGTTTTCTGTGATGCATTCTGTAGAAATATTGTGGGGCTATTCCAAATCATGACTAATACAGAATGTTGTGATTATTCAAACCAACAGTTGGTGAAAGTAAACATCTGCTTTTAAATTATATTTATTTGTAAACATTGTAGTTCCAAAAGTCTGACATTGGACCCCTTAAAAACCTCTAGGGTAGGAGCCCTTTTGACGAATCTGCACCAAACTTTACACAAACCATCCTTGAATAATGCTTAATAATGCCTGAAAGTTTCATTACAATCTCTCAAGTGGTTTTGGAGTCCATAATGTTCAAATATATATATATATATATATATATACAAACTTCCTCTTTTATAAATATAGATATCAGCTTGAAAGTGTTTTTGCTAATGTACAAATTTTTAGTTCTCTATTAATAAGATGGCTCCTCATTAAGGCAGTTTCAACATGAAATCTGAATAAAACTATGATAATGAAAACATTTAACTAAAAGTATCCTGAATCTTCAATTTCACGCTGTTCATTTGGTACGCTCATTCACACACTGAATAGGTATCTTTTAAACTAACTTTATCATCGAGCTTCTGTGTGCTTACTGGTGCTTTCTTTTGCATTAAGGTACGTAGCAAAAATCCCAGTACGATTTGAAGCTAGTCTAGACGAAGCGATGAGTGAAATCCTATTGTGACATTTAATATATTGTTCCAATTTACTAGTTCTTTGTTTGATTATTCAGTAGTCAAAGTGGTGAACAAAGTCCAACATTGTGCAACAGTATCAGTAATAAAAGTTTTCTGATTTGACAGGGTGGTATAGATGATGATTCAAACGTGCCACGGACCATGAAATTTGTAATCAATGAGTGGAAGTTCAGGGTATTTATTTTATTTATCAAAAAGACTAAACATGGAGGACTCAAAATGGTTCTTGCGATTTTGCACTTGGCGGTATATTTTAACACATGGGGTCAACTTGTCTGTTAAATTTGACCATGGTGTCTACTCTCCGGGAAATTCGGGAAAACCGGGAAACCTCCGGGAATTTTATCTTACCATGAAATGTCCTGGAAAACTCCAGGAATCCACCCAAACCTCCGGGAATCCGTAGCCCAGTCATCGGAATCGTCGCCTAACCGAAACACTACCGCTTTTGTTGCCACGATCGCGAGAGACGATTATCGGTGTCGCCGAAGCCACGTGAGATGCCTACGGGCGTTGCCGCGATCGCGGGAAAGATTATCGGTGTTGCTAAAACCGCAAGATATGCTTACGGGTATTGCCGCGATCGCGGGAAACGATTATCGGTGTTGCTAAAACCGCAAGATATGCTCACGGGTATTGCCGTGATCGCGAGAGACGATTATCGGTGTCGCCGAAACCACGTGAGATGCCTACGGGTGTTGCCGCGATCGCGGGGAACGATTATCGGTGTTGCCGAAACCGCAAGATATGCTCACGCGGGTATTGCCGCAATCGCGAGAGACGATTATCGGTGTTGCTAAAACCGCAAGATATGCTCACGGGTATTGCCGCGATCGCGGGAGACGATTATCGGTGTTGCCGAAACCGCAAGATATGCTCACGCGGGTATTGCCGCGATCGCGGGAAACGATTATCGGTGTTGCTAAAACCGCAAGATATGCTCACGGGTATTGCCGCGATCGCGGTAGACGATTATCGGTGTTGCCGAAACCGCAAGATATGCCTACGGGTATTGCCGCGATCGCGAGAGACGGTTATCGGTGTCGGCCAAACCGCAAAAATGCATACGGGTGTTGCCGTGATCGTTGACGGTGTGACGTTTTGTCGCTGGTGTTGAAGATACTGCAAGATATGCTCACTGATATTCCCACAATCGCGGGAGATGATAACTGGTGTCGCCTTACCTACCAGTTATACTGTTTTATTAGGTTGTATAAAATATTATTCTTTGGAAATGTTTTGTTTCAAATAATAATAATCATTATTATTAATAATAATAATAGCCTAATAATAATCATTTTCATTTATTAGCGGGTTGCGATTAGTTAAACGGGTTCCGATAGTAGCTCCTTAAAATTCAGGAATTTGTCTTGAATTCTCCTGGAAAACTCCTTGAATTTTTCAAACCAGGTTTAGTAGACACCATGTTGACTAAAATTAAATAATCAAGCCTCACTGATTTTATTTTTACTGTACCGTACTTAATTTTCAATAGAAAGTATTTTTTTAATTTGTTTACAGTGTGGCTAAAATACTGCTAAAGTAACAACTGGCTGGGTTACCAAGATAATTGCATTCATTATTACAAACTACTAATCCTTTAATGCTTGTTGCTAACATGAAAGCATAAAAATTTTTTTGTAACTAGTAATTTAACACTTTATTAAAATTGTAATTTTTACGCCTATTTATGCTGAATTAATGTTTAACCATATCAAGAAAAGTTTCAAAAACTAAAAACTATTATGTATGTTATTGTTACCGGGATTGTTATTTGTTATGGTCACATGCTATAAAATTAATATATGTAGCATTATGTGAATTCAATGGTTCCCTCATGGTCACAACAAAATGGGATTTATTGCTTTGATTTGGCAGGCTCTCAAAAATTAAGGTCTTAAAATCTCAGACTGATCAAGAAATGTAAATTTAAATTGGTAAATTTACTGACTAACCAGAAAAATTGAGGCGATTTTATAGCCAAGTGATTTCTAGATTGCATAAAATTAAGTGCCTATTTTATTTTTCTAGCTGTCTGCTTCTTGAGTTAAGATTTTTGGGAGTCTACTATAATCACTTACCTGCCAATTAATACCAATATAAGAACAAATTAAATGACAAAGTAAACAGCAAACTTCCCTACGACAGCTATGATTTGCATTATTTGACATCATTTCTGCTCTCTTGTCAAATTAGACCTACTAATATTTGCATTTGCACATTAAAAATTACCAGTAAATGCTTGGGACACAATTGCTAACAAAATTCAGTATTTAAAAAATGTTTAATTCACTAATCAATTAAAAAATTTATTAAACAACAATTTTTGTCAAATTGTATTTTATTTACAGCTGTTCATGTTGCAAAGCAGTTACTATGTTATTTTTATTTATCCTAAGTTTAAAAAAAATGACAATCATGAGACTCAATCAATATGAAAAATAATTATATCAATGTTTTTAATTGAATACATATTTGTTACTTAACTCAAATTAGTTGTTCCAACAGTGAAATCAAGTTTTTTAATCGGTCACATTTTGAGTCTCGTGGCAATTAGTTATATAAGCCCCAAACATGTGTGGATTTGACCCGTTGTGTTATCACTGTCCGTTGGACATTGATATACTGCCGACATATGTTCACTATTTTCAGCTATTTATGGTTTCCTGGTGCACTGCCAGTTTAATTTGTGTTGGTACAGCCTCTGCCAATTGCCAAAGTTCATACTATCTCAAACAACTTTGTTTGATATCGCTCATATTTTTGCTGACATGGTCAATTATAACAGTCTACTGATAAATGGAATTTCATAGCTTTGCGCTATCAGATTTAATTCAAGTTATTCAGGGTAATGTTGAGAATGTGATCTGATGAAATTATAACTTTTAACAGAGTGACTTGATGTAAATCAATTTAAAATTACTAATACAAACTAAACTGAATCAATAATCGCAGATGAATGAGATATTTCTTATCAGTGATATAAATTCTCTTCATTGGTAATTTTTATCTAGGTTTTTTGCACATAAATTTTGCACCAATCTCTCTGCATATTTGGTGACTTTCCTTGTCAAATAATACAAATACAATGGTAAATAATCATGCTTAAATAAATCTGATAGTGTCTGGCTAGAAACTATTCGATCATTGAAAAATTACCTGACTATACTCCGTTTACAAAATTTAGGCGGTTTGAGGGGAAGATCCCCCATCACTTTTTTAGCGAATTTCCCTATAGGGAAGTAGCTATTATCGTAGGTGGCACGGTAACACCTAGACCCTAGAAATATATTTGATTGAAAATCAATTCAGACAAATGGAAATTCCACTTAGTCGGCAGGTTTGCTGCAGCGAAGCTATTCTACTATCTATATGTAGTAGCTGATTGAGGTTTTGGCAAACCTCAGCTGTTGATCTATTGCTTTCAAGGTAGGATCAAGTGGAGGGAATAGATTTCTTCCCCTAAAACTGCCTAAATTTTGTGAATGGAGTATAATTGAAAATGTTGGGCCTTCTATAGAGACATTCTAAGGCTCCCAAAAGTATGCTCCTGTAAAAAAGTTTGAATGTTAGTTTTGGTTACAATACTTTGAAATAGGCTGTTTTTTTGCTTACTGATAAACTAACCTATTTATAGTATAATGCGTTATATTCGGCTTAAGTAAATACAGAGAACAATCTACTTGAGTTTATCTGTTGCTTCATACTTTAGTCTTGAAGTGGTTACCTGATTTGAATCTACTGATTGATATATATTTTTAAGTTGATGAATATTTTTCATCATAAAAAATTACATGACTAATTAAAAATGTAGGACCTTCTATAAAGATGTTTTAAGGCTCCTGATAAATTATGCTCCTGTTTGAAAGATTGAATGTTAGCCTTGGTTATAATACTTTATAATAGACATGTTTTTGCTTACTTCTGAACTCACCCATATAGTGTACTGCGTTAGATCCAGCTTTAGCAAATACAGAGAATAATCCACTTGAGTTTATCTATTTAGTTTTGAAGTGGTTACCTGACTTGAATCTACTGATTGATATATTTGAAGTAGATGACTATTTTTTCAGGATGCTGCACATTGGTATACTGTAAGTACAGTCAGCCAGGTTTATAACGTGCCTTTATCTGTTTCTAGCTTAGAACAGTTCTGCTCTTCACATTTTGTTTCTCTGTACATTTTCGTTGTATGACAGTCGAGACTATTGTTTGGTGAGAAAACATTTTGTAGGAAAATTATATTGGAGGTTGCAAAGATGGTATGGATGCAGACAGTCAATATTTTGACATTCGAATCAGAAAATCAAGTTTAGTCAAAGTCAACATCGAAGGTAGTTTTAAAATCATTATATCTCAATTAGAGAATTTATAAAATTGGTTTTGTATCATAAAATTAATATTATATTCCCAGTAATGCAAATGGGTTTTTATTGAAAACAATTTATTTTTTTACTATACAATTCATAAATTTGTCCTTAAAGATTCACCAAATTCAGTTTGAAAAGCTACCAGTACTAATGTGATAAAAACTATTTAAAGTAGCAAAATGGCTTGAAGTGCGAGTTTAAATAATAACCTTTTTTTTGATACTTGAACTTTTTATATTTCCCCTTTCAACATCTCCCATCTTTGAAACAGCTGTTTGTATTTGAAAATATCCCTTTTACTAAGCAATATTGTTTGAACGATGTTGGCAGTTGAATAAGTAAATCAGGGTGGTACAACTTGGAGGCAGCTTGGTTGTAATCAATAAAGGATAACTTGTGTCAATGTAGACAAAGAAAGCCAACGGATACATAAGGAACTATCTACGTTTACCTGCGTTAAGTTACAGAAGTAATAAAAATCCTCTTAATCAGTCACAAATAGCTTCAACATTAAATTATAATTAATTTGTTTCCCTATTTTTGGTCCAAAATTGAACGATATTTGAGACAACCGCTGTTTACATTTGTAAATGTACAGAGAACTACAGTTGAGTGATATTGTTAATATTCTATTCTCTTTTAAAATAAGTAATATTGATGTGCATTTCTGACCAGATTAACAAATGCATGGAGAGATATAGGCCCATTTTAAACATAGCGGGTTGCTATTTTGTGTTAATTTGTGATAGATCATGTTTGTAACTCAGTGTACAACACCAATGCAATTGACGATTGTGACCTTTCAAGTTGCCCTTTAATGATTTAAAGAGGCTATAAAGTCTTAAGAGGGGCTTTTGCTTAAGAAAACAAATTACAGTATATTAACCTTTGTGTGCTAATCAAATTTACTAACTCCTGGTTATTTTTTCTTGTTGTCTTTTTAACCCCTACATTTTGGTGAAATTTTATATTATTTACTTATTCTGATTTATTATACTGTTAATGTTACATAACTTCTAGTGTATCGTTTGAGACGATAAGTGGATGGGTTGTCGTGCAATTTGTTGTTATTAAGGTGATTTGAGTCTAAATTCTGTGCCGTGTTTGAGCCAAACAAATTTGAAATGACTCCTCTGAAAGCATAATGAGGTCAAATTTTCATTGTTAAAATGTTATTGGTCGGTAACTACAGTTTAAATAGTGGAATTAGCTCAATAGATCTCTGTTTTAATTAACTATGATGGTTACCATCTTGGCTATAAACAATGAAAATATTTGAAAATTTAAGTTAAAATATTTATACCAAAACAAAAACTACATTTCTTGTAATTTTAATATTAATTGTTTAGCTTTAATTTTTGAGAATCCAGAACAAAAATTAAAAACTGGAATTTTTCTATTTTAAACTGTAAAAGCTTTTGAATTAAGTTGGGTTGGATATGCAAACACCTGTTTTGGTGATAGTTTTGCCATCTCGAAGCTTTTCTTTATTTTCTTGTTTATTGCTTTTTTAAATACTAAGCTTTGTTTTGTGTCGTCTGTGTTTATTTTCGGTGTACCAAAAACCTTGGCTGACTGTATGTGTTAATGTACAATTTTTGCTGAAAGTATTTTAATATAAACCAAAATATTTTTTGAAATTTTGTGTTATTCACTTTAGGAATGTGTAGGACGAAAGTGTTAGATTCCGTATAAACATCTGGAAATGGTTACACTTATTAAAATATGCCTTAAGGTTGTTGTAAATATAATTTCCCCCAAACATGAGTACTCGTACTAAGCTCGATAATAATTTGTATATTACATAGCGTACTAGTTTGTAATGGATGGTGAAGAGATAAATTGAAAAAAGTAACGAATAATGCTAAAAGGTAAATAAAATTAAAAGATATTCCTCGTTATTATTTGTTCCCGATTCACTTTTCCTCACAACCTGTTAAGAGAGGTTTCATAAAATATTTTAAACTAAGCTATTCTTTTAAAATATTTTAATAAGTTCCAAATATAAAAAAGTTGTTTTAAAAGGTTCGATGCTTACATTGTATGAGAATATAGTAGCAATCCTAAGTAAACATACAACCTAAATTAAATGTCGAAAAATTAAAAATGTTAGCCGACTTGTTCTCTTAATACATTTTTATTAGTTAGAAACAGATAATTGTTGGAATAGGCAGTCAATATTATCTGGCCGTATGTTTAGCGACTTTTGTAAGTTAATTGCATTTAGCAGTGTCAATAATAGCAGCTTTTTTGCAACCAATCCAACTATAGCCGACATGCAATAATCGTTTTTGGATAATGTTGTAGTTAGAACTGTTAAATTAACTTATGCTTGAAGGCAATGTTTTAGCTTTTTGCCAAGATCTTGGATGGATAGAATTATAAATGTCTCAATAAACCACTAGAGCAGAATCACCAATTTGCTTTCCTCATGTGGTTATTTAGAAATCAGTAAAAATAGACAACAATGTTTTTTTGTTAATTGGCTATAGCCGTAGACAGGACTGTTTTTAGCAATTTTCCTTTTTTACATTTATCTACTGTGAATAATCTTGTGTATTTGTTGAAGTGTTAATGCTAATAAAGATGTTTGATTAGTAGTAGTTAAGATTCCATTTTTAGCCATTACAATTTTGTAAACTGGATTACACCATTTAAGTCAAAGATAACACTTAACATTTCAGGGTTTGGGGGTTATAATTTTCCAAGGGTGTGTGTATTATATACTGGGAATTCAAAACCCAATTTTTGTACTGTGATGTGTTTACCTTTTGATCTCTCAAATATGCATACTAATTTAGTTCTTACACTTAACTATAGCCTAACATTAAGTTTAACTGGGGAAAGATGATTTTACTTTTAAAATGTTATTGTATTTAGAGCTCCAATGCTTTGCAGAGTCGGGCTCCGATCTCGGCCAAGCTTGTGGCCAACATGCTGAGTGTCGCCGGGGCGGATCACATCATCACCATGGACCTTCACGCCTCTCAGATCCAGGTGAATATGGAGATATGTACAGTAGTTTATATTCGGATAATCATGAACTAGTACATAAGTTTGATTGTCATAAAGGAGCTACATTGAACTTATGGTATGTTAGGTTTTATTTAAGGAACAAATTTTCTGACTGAAGAAGTCTCATATTAGGTTGAAATACCAATGTTAAATGTTCTCTTACATCTTATTGTGTATCTAATGGCCCCTGGATTTTAATGTTTTCAGGTAAGCTAAATAAACTCTACCCCTTTAAAAGCCCTGACTAATGTATTGTGACTTTGTGACCTCGTAGTATAATCTATGACTAATGTGACCCTCTAGTAAAATATGTGACCTTCTAGTAAAATCTGTGACTTATGTGACCCTTTAGTAAAATCTGTGACTTATGTGACCTTATGGTTGCTAGTAAATGTGTCTTTGGGACCCTTATCCATGGCTTTTGATGACTTCCATGATCCCCAAGTAAAATCTTTTACTATCATTGACATGTTTCATTTTGTCTCTGGTGACAGAAAGTGTCTTAAAAGTGTCCGAGACTTGTGGAACAGTCAAATTTTACCTCTTACTGATGGTTCATGATTGATGTTTAGGGCTTCTTTGACATTCCCGTGGACAACTTGTACGCAGAGCCGGCCGTTCTCAAGTGGATCAAGGAGAACATCAGTGAGTGGCGCAACAGCATCATTGTGTCTCCTGACGCTGGGGGTGCCAAGAGGTGAATATAAGTTGTTAGGTTAATCATTGTCCTTGGTTGGAATATATTGTTGATAAAAGGATTACCTTATCCACCACATTAATACATTGACCTGGCGAAGCTTTAAGGGACGAAACTAGTTGTCATACCAGCAACTGTGGTTGGATAAGGTAATCTTTTTATTTCATCACGAATATAAATCGTTAAGCTAATATAAGTTTTTAAGCTATAGACTGAACTAGACATTACATTAAAATTTGCAAGTTGTAGCCAGATTTAGAGTCACACTAATCCAAACCACGTTATGGAACTAGGACATTCGGAATAATCACCTTATATGGTCGAGTGTCCATTCATCTTTGCCATTCCATTGGTTCTGTTTTAAGAATGCAATCACCGAGGATGATCTTGGGTTTGATTGTAATATAAATCAAAGTTAGTTCCGAGATAAAAGGATTTAATCAAGGATGATGATTGCAGTGTTTTTATAATTGCGGGAAATTTTCACTGTGTTTCCCATATACCATATATCATAAAAATAGTCATAGTCATAGTCATAAAAATACATTACCAGTACTTTAACTTTTGGTGTAGTTTTACTGCATTTGTGACTAAATTGTAAAATTTTGTAAACCGAACAGGGTCCAGTCCCAATTATTTCAGATTAGCGGCACTGAGGTGTAGTTGAATTCAACCACGGACGGAGTGTTTTGATGTTAGTTTCTGATTTCTGTTCTACATGCCAACTTTTTTTTATCACAGGGGACGTAGAAGATGTCCCTTGGTCGCGAAAGATGTTAACAATTCCACCGTGACCGCAGGGATTCTCACGTCTTCCTAGTGACTGAGGACGATTTCGTTAATTTTCAATTTTACTTTGTGTTAACACTTTCGTCGTGATTTCAGAAGTCACTCTATATAAATCATTATACTAACTTGCTTACTTGCTCAAACAAATTCAACATGTACTGTCAGTAATCAGTTACTATTGTGTCCCTTATTTCATTCAAATACAATTTCCCAATCAAGCATAATGTCTTTTACCGTCATGAGTATCTTTTCACGTCAGATAATATGGTTGTTTGTTCAGAGTTCAGTTCAAAAATCGTTATTCATATAAAAAAGCTTGTATTCAATTCCATATTCAACCATGTGTTGGAAACACGTGCGGTTGAAAAACTTAAAAATATATCTTATATCTACATAAATACTTTCTTGAGTAGGTCCATTTTATTTTAATAAGTCACTGTTACTGATACCTAATATCTATTTTGATTGTTTTTCTTTTTTTCACTATAACACTTTGGTTCGTTACTTAACTGGCTATTCTTTCTTGCATACTTTTTTATATACAAAAATCTTTTTAACGTACCGTAATACATTTTATAATTGTTTTACTTTGTTTGTTTAATCGAGCCGTTTTTGGTCAATTAATTTAATTTACTTTTATACAGTTCAATTTTCAAATCCTGCATATTTTTGAGTAACGGTACTCCAAAAGTTAAAACATTTTACTGCTTTATGGTAACACTGTACTCTGCTTATGTCTTTTATAACAGGTGGTATCACAAGCATACCCTCAGTATAGTTTCCGTATTCCTATAAATAACAACTGATTTTGTTGTCGGCTACGAGTTACAACAAATCCCAGAGGCTCTACGGGGTTCTCCAGTTTCATGATAGGATTATGTTGTACTTGGTTTTTGGAGATCTCTGTAATAAGTCACTTTAAGCACAATGGTGTCGTTTTGTATCGCAGGGTAACATCGATTGCGGATCGATTGAATGTGGAGTTTGCGCTGATTCACAAGGAGAGGAAGAAGGCCAACGAGGTGGCGTCGATGGTGTTGGTGGGAGACGTCAAAGACAGAGTGGCTATCCTGGTGGACGACATGGCTGACACTTGCGGCACCATATGTCACGCGGCAGAGAAGTGAGTCAATTTGAATCAGAATTACAACCTCCAATACACCCAACAGAGGTGGCCCTACATAAAGGCGAAAGGTGGTGCCTGGGGCTGGCGCTTTTCAGGGCACAGCCGTATCTCAGGTAACACGAGAGAGGCCCGCTATTTAACTTCACCTTGGACCCCGTCATCACTAGGTGCCCCGCCACTGATACCCATCCATTTTTTTCTCCCTATTAGGGATAATCGAGATTGGATTTTCAGTTGGAGACGAGACCGGATTTCCCTTCTCATACTTAACGGGAAATGCACGTTCCACATTTAAACCTGATTTTGTAACATTTTAAAATACCTACTGATTTATGACAGATGACTGGTTAAATTAAAAAATAATAATAATAGACTTAAGAATATTGAAAATCTGTTATTAAATAAACGGTATCAGCAATATGACACATACTTTTTCCAATTAGCTTGTCAATAATCTCTATCCAGTAGGGGTAAGCGATGAGAGTAACTGATATTCAATAGGAAAAATCATAAAAGCTGCATTATCTTTTGAACAGTAATTTTTACAGGAATGGCAAAGTTTTGTTTAGAATTATAAGGACCAGTGCAGATGAATTTCAATCGAAACCGGTTTAAAAAAAATGCTTATGGAGAATAGTCAGACTGGAATTTTGCCGCTGAAATGAGCTTCGTGCGGCTGCCGCGCTACTCTAAACTCTCCCTCTAAGCCGATTCTTTGTTTTACTCAGTCAGCTGACTTGGCCGCACGCTCGCTATAGTCTACCTATTGGCCGCCGCAGGAACTATCCGAAATTCAGATATTCCCAGACTGAAATTTTAACAAAGCCATTGCGCTTTTTGTATTCATTGAGATTGTTGTGTCGGTGTAAATATTGTATATAACGTAAAAAGAACATCTTAGAATTTTTTCTGAAGATGCCACTGTGGCAAACTAACTAACAATATTGGAGGAAAAACTGAATTCTGCTGCTAACAATGACAATAAATTAAATTTTCTAGTTCTTGTCACTAGGAAAACAAACAAAAAGTGAATTTGAGATTTGTAACTGGGTCATTGCTGAACAAACCTATAAAACAGAAATTTCTTTTAACAAAGTTGTTACTATAATTAAAGAATAAAATTAATTTATTGGCACATAAGTACAGTTTACATAAAGAAAGTGCTTATAGAAGTAATTGGTGTCTCGTCCATTACATAAATATAACTAATTCAGATTTTGCCTACTATTTTTTTTTTTGCCAATTTATTTACCCATGAAGCTTAAAACAAATATCTAGTAAACAGATGACATGTCGACAACTGACGTTGGTGCTAGGATGCTTACTAACGGTGTGTTCCTTCTGCAGACTGATGGAGGCTGGAGCCACCAAGGTTTACGCTATCCTTACCCACGGAATATTCTCAGGACCAGCCATTTCCAGGATCAACAACGCCTGCTTCGAGGCTGTCGTCGTGACAAACACCATTCCCCAGGAGCAGCACATGAAGGACTGCCCCAAGATCAAGGTGAGTCCCACCTCAGGATGTCTTAAGCTCCAAGATATCTTTGATCCCCTCAACAATTTTCCAATATTCAAGCAGGATCCCAAATGCCCTTAAAATCTCATAGAACTTGTCCCGAATGTCCTTAAAATCTAATAGAACTTGTCCTGAATGTCACAAAAATTTTATAGAACTTGTCCTGAATGTCCTTAAAATCTCATAAAACTTACTTTTCGAAAGTCTGCAGATCTAAAGAAGCACAGGAAGTAACTGACGAAAATGAAGTAAGTGAACTTGGACCTTCAAATAATAAAGTATTCATAGGTACACTTGGGGATGGGTCAAAATGTAAGCCCTGGAAACTAGAGTTAGTATTTGAGGGAAAACCACAAACATTTAAAATTGATTCAGGGGCAGATGTAACAGTAATTCCCCCTGGCATAGTTGGGAATTGTTCATCAAAGTCCCTAAAACCCCATAAAACTTAAAATTGTGTATGTAGGTGATGTAGAAACCCTAATAATAAACACTGTGCCTAACGATTTTGGTTTTTATAACAAATCTTTCATATGATAAAGAATCATTGGTTTCTTTTGTTCTAAATAAACGTAGAAAATAACCGATCGATTCACAAGAGACCGGACACAGTGTACTCTTAGTTACGGGTGTTTTTTAGATGTGTGAGACCTTCCTCACGTATGAATTCACAATCAAGTTATTGTTTCTGGCCTGTTTCAGTGTATTGACGTCTCGATGATGTTCGCTGAGGCAGTCAGGAGGACACATAACGGAGAATCTGTGTCCTATCTATTCTCTAACGTTCCTTATTGAATACTGTTTTATATTAAAACAGTACAAATGTTATTATGTTAAGGAATATCAAATCTCATCTAAGGTTTACAAATATGTACCACTCTTAGAGCAGTGGTCGCTACTTATTTTTATACACAATTTGAAGTTATTCAATATTATTTAGCCGAAAAAGTTATTATTTGTATTCTAAAACTGTTACGAACAACACAGCGAGCTTCTTCTAATCAAGCTGTACATGGATTATTGATAGTGTATTATGTTAACTGTGATTAAAATGAGAATGACATTTGTGGCTTTATTTTACCTTGAAACTCGGTGAATTGTAGTGACTTTATTGTAGGTCTTGTCTGCCATGCAGCCTGTGCCGGTTTGTCTCAGGTTGCAGGTTTGGCCAGCCAAGTGTGTATTTACTACAAATGTTTTCCTGGTTTTCAAATATAAATACTATACGTGTCGATGTGTGTTTATAGTTTAAAATTTTTGTTGGATTTTATACCAATTTCATGTTGGATTTGTATTCTATTTACATTTTATTTTTATATAATGTAGACTAAGTTCAGAAACATGTCGTTAAAATAAAATAATTATACACAAAAGCTTTTTAAATTGTGGTTTTTAATTTTTGTGAACTTATATAACTCAATATACGAGTATAAAATAAATTTGAACGGATGGTGTTCTTGGCCTCTGGAGACCTCAAAAGAAAAAAAAAGTAAATCCGTTCCGCGTCTGGGTCTTCCCACAAGACCAACGGTATTAGCTTATTCCCTATATGGGAAGGAACTTTCAAATACAGAAAACAAAATGTTATTACAAAAGCTAAAAAATTTATTCCGTTCCAACATCCATATAATAAAATTAAAATCCTAAATGGTAACTCTAATGCTTACGCAGGGACAATACTGATCACAAATAACCTACAAAAGGTACAAAAAACATTCAAATTTATAAATTACACACTGCAAATCAAATCATGGTATACAATCACAAAAATAGGCCAAAGACAAAGAGAGTGAGAGTATTCATTGCACCATCTGATCCACACACATCAAAACATGATGTTAATATTTTTTCCTACAGTCACCCGACAAAGTTGGCTTCCTTGTACTGTTTATAGTACAGAAAGCTGCTAATTGCTGCATATTTATACTTTGTCGTAGGGTTTATACTTTGGCGCACATCAGGATTCCAACGAAACGACACAAAACAGCGTGGTTCTATTATGCACGTAATCCGTGTACACTTCGAAATAGGTTGGCAACACTAAAAGAAAAATAATACTATGAGCAGCTGATTGACTATTATAACTACGATTTAACCTCTCATTTCGTGTTTATAGGTTATGTTCTCTTTTCGGTATTTCTGAACTTTCTGGACTTTTCTTTTAAATGTTTTTAAAACATTCCTAGGATCTTAATAAACAAAAAAATACCTTTGAAGCATTTTTTTAGGCGCGGAAACCACTGCAAATTACAAAAACATACGGAACTATTTTCTCAAGTCCCGGAGCACATTGCTTGCCGAGGAAAAAATAGCGGAGTGATACAGACCGGTGACTACTTTCTCTAGGGCACCTATTTGTGTTGCCAGCTGAACCTAAAAACGTGTTGTATAGTGTTTGAAAGACTAATTATTTATATGCTTTATAGTGACTGTAGGAAAAATATAATGTGTAACACAAGTGCAAAAGGCCTTTGCTGCATTTAAGATCATTCCTCGAGGCCTGCGGCTTGTGCGTAAACATTTCTCTCGTGTGCAGCAAAGTGCCACTTTGCTCACTAGTTACACAAATAACTATTTCTGATGACATTTTCTTCCAACTCCAAGTTGTGAAGATTAATTTTCTTACATTAGTGGCAACTTCCTCCCATTAATCATGGAGAAATATGTCAAAACACATTTCACACAAACAGTTTTTAAAAAGCACACATTAAAATGCAAGTTGCCGTTACTAAGACTAGGGGCTAAAAATAGTTTTACAAAATTTTATTTTCTCTTCAGTAAATCTTTGTTTCTCATTTATGATATGATTCTCGATTTGAAGTAACTATTTTACTATCTTATACTAGCTGATACAAAAGTTTTTTTTAGCAAATATTGCAGTATTTGATTGTACTTTTTTTGTATAGAAATACAGTGCAACCTCGATAAAAAGACTCTCATAAGGATTAAGTATTAAATAAGACTTTTTATCAAGGTTGACTTCTTAACAATGTTTAGAATAACACGTAGGGGTAAAATAAATTTAAGGGAATTTGAAAATGAAATGACACTGGTTAAGGTTGACTTGTTATCGAGGTTCCACTTACAATTTCAATTGATGAAAGTAATAAACTACACCAGTTGGCTCCTTTTCAAACCTTAAAACTTTGTCAGCCAATGAAATTCACCATAACAGAGTAAAACTAATTTTGCTCTGATTGGAACATTTACCGCACAGAGTGGACACGGCATCAGCGTACCAAACCGAATAAATTCAAGATTGAATGCAGAATAACTAATAAGAGCTACTGTGTGATTCTGTGCTGGTCAAATATAGTCGCTGTAATTTGTAAAAACAAAAATTACAAAATATTAGTTGGTGCCTTTCATTTGACCAAGGAATGTTTTTAAAACATGTTTGTACAATACTTCAATTTTTTTCCAGAGCCTCCTAGTTATCTACAAGTAAAAAATACACTTGTCAAACACTTATTCGTTTAAAAAATCTCACGACTTCTCACCTTAACACTGTTTAAAAATATTAATATTACATCGTAATATCATCAAAGTGTCTCTTCTAGACCTTGTTAGGTAGCCACAAGGTCTAGAAAATATATGACTTTGCAGCAATTAAACGTACGAGATCACTTATTTGTGATTTTGATGCAAACGATTCATCAGTAATTGTGATGGCCAGGTAGGGAGGCGATGTAACACTTACATCTAAACAGCTGATCCAACAAGTAAACATGCTATGTGAAGAGGGTAGCTCAAACACGGCTTCAGTTGAATCGGTAACCATGCATTGTTGCCATCGTTATCCTAAGATGCCATAAAGCAGCCTATCACATACACGGATTTCTTTGTGGATTATCAAGCACATGTAAAACATAAAAATAAATTATACTGTTCAATCCTTCGTTGCACCAGGAGGTAGGCTTATGTCAAACACTATTGGTTGATTGTTCGGTAAGTAGTTGACATCACAGGTTGAAGCGTTAATGTAGATCACCCGCCCATCTGAAGACACACCATAACCTAGAAAAATAAATCTTTGGCTTTAATAGATTCAAATTGGTACAGGTTACAAACACAATGTGAGTAATACACCAATACACAACGGGACTGAGTTAAAACTACGCAAACTCGTTGGTACTGAATAACCAACACTATAGCAACGCGACTGGATATGAGCTTGTGAAGGGGTTCCCCCGCCACAGCAAACATGCATACTAAGTGAATTACCATTTGCCTAAATTGATTTCCATTTCAATATCTCCTTAAAACATGGTATATGACCAATGTTGATGACTACAGGATTATGGCCTAAAATCTCCAGTTCTACATTTCTGTTGAACGAAACCTGCATCCTTTAGGGTAAATATTTAGTTTTTCCAACTTTGAGTTTGTCTATTGGATGTTTTTCCTCTTATATATGATATGAATTTAAGGTTAACATAGGAAAGTGAGTATGCTTGTTTTCTACCATTAAAATGAAAAAGAATGGAATTTTAGGCCACGATACAATACTTCTAAACTAGGAGAATCAATAAACTTTTAAGGGAGATATGACTGTTTCTTCAGAACTTGCAAAACTGGTTTAGATCACCTAGCTCGGCCTAGCACTTCTCACTATGGCATTTTGTAGTGTCGTAGCAGTTAGATGATTGATTACTGTTTTCAGTTACCTTCATGGACGTGTCCAAAAATGTGGTACCTAGGTCTGACCCTCTGTTGTACAGTAGCCAGCAGTTCCACACACCCTGCGCGGACACCCGAGCAGCACAGGTCACCATGTCCTATGGGTGGCGTGTGCGTCACGAGTACATCGGTGTTGTCTGGAATCTGCTGCCACTTGCTGAGGCACGCTTCACCTCGAGGCAGATTGAACGCCCACTTGCAAAACTCCGGCTGCCTGGTCAACACACACAATAAACAATATTAGCAAACCGACACGTACTTTCTCTCATTAGCTCGACATTAAAATCGGATCACAAGTGTGATTGAATGAATAAACAGTTTAAGAAACATTGGCTACAAACTTCAGTTGTGCTTATTAGTAAAAGGTGACAGAGTTACTGACTTACAGGTATTATGACTTCATTATTATATGGGGTGACACAGGGTACCTACCAGTTGGTCCTGTGACTTCAGGGGACAGCAACGACGTAAATGCTCGATCTTTTGTACCAATGAGGCAATATTTCGATTTGATTTGGTGGCTTGCTCCTAAAATATGGTCCCTCTCATTGATTCTTCATTGTGAATTAAATAATTATTTGCATCAAGCAGAGCAAAAAACCAAAGACACTGTGGCGGACCTGGAGATCGCGGGGCCCAAGGTGAAGTTCAATAGCAGGCCTCTCTTAATAACTGAAATACACCACACGGCTGTGCGGGGGCCCCTGAAAAGCACGGGGCCCCAGGCACCGCCTTGTTCGCCTTTATGTAGGGCCGCCACTACAAAGAGAGGTCTGGTCTGGGGAACTTTATTTTGGTTTTGGCCCAATGTTTTCCTGTGACTTTTGGGACTTTGAAAGGTGGACACCCTGTGAAAAGAGACTACTCCTCCAGTTAAAGTCAGAGCCCTATTTCCCATATATTCGAGGAGCCCACAGCCTATTTTCCCCCTGAATTTTTTCTAAGTATAAGCACACTCAGCAGCTTACCACGGCGACCCGTAGAAATTCAGCCCGTATATTCCTATCGCCTGGTCCTGCAAGTAGGTGCAGTTCGTCAGACACTCCTTGATGTTCTGCATCTTCACAGCCTCCGCGATATTGTCCTTGGGCAGACCCAGCGTGGGGATCTGGTCTATGATGCTGCCTCCTCTAGAGCCGTCACTGGGAGAGTGGCTCAGAGGATGTGTGAACGTCCGGTCAAAGCTGAGCTCGTGGTTCCCAGCTATCACAATTTTGTGTTTGTGTGGCAGGCCGCCTGGACACAAAATTTATTGTGTTTTCAGTTAATCGAGATGGACATTTCCTACCGCTGTTCAATAACACAACGTTTCGGGAGGTAAGGAAACACCTCCTGGTTTCAAAAAACAAAGTATCTTAAGTTTTCTTAACTAGGGGCACAAGGCAAACCCGCTTCCACGCTGACCCACGGGATCATGACTTTAGCCTCTATGCACCAATATGAGGTTAGGTGGGCTAACTAGGAAAATGTAGATTTAGGGTCACACGAAAAAAGGAGGAATTTTCTTCACTCATAGTGTAGTTAACTAAGCGGTAGTAATTGAAGATCCATGTTACTTAAGAAAAAGTTAACTTAAGTGTCAAAATTAAATTAAGATTGGATAAAATTTGTTTAAACTAGACTTGACTTTTCTAATTTTGAGTTTTTATGCCTTATGATTTTTCTATAACCATAAGTAATATTTGGTGTGTACATGCTAATTGTGTATGGTATTAATCTTAAAAGCTAAGTTTAATCGTAATCAGTAGTTTACTAGTTTTGTTCATTGTGTTTTTAGAAATGTGACTAAATTAGCACTAAAATTTGAGTAATATATTTGATTGTTTTTTGGAGTGTTTAATAACTTGAGTACTTTTTGTCCGATTTTGATAAAATTTGGTTTGAAGGTGTAAGGCGGGATACACTTGAATGAGTTCGCGAACCAGCATGATCGGACTATGGGAACGGGGGTTTATGGGGGGTTATATGGGGTAAAAATAGGTTTTTCCCATTTTTGACCCTAAAAACACAAAATTTCACAATTTCTTTTTAAACCATTTTGTAGAGCTTAAAAAAACAAATAATTTAGTACATTGAAGCGTTGTTATGCGCCTAATTGTTACAGAGAAAATTCAAATAAATTGTAATTTTGAAATTCCCATGTTATTCTTATGGAGAATAAGTCAACTGTTGTAGTTTGCTTGTTTATGAACATATTTTGATAAAATTTGGAAAATACATTAATTTCTTACTAAACCACAGTACCTTTTAATATTTTACATTAAAAAAGACTTTTTTACCCTCCCTGTTGCAGCAAACCTAAGTACTCATTAAACTAATTCTGTTTAAATTGGGAATAAATGTGATATTTTTAAGGAGACATTTTAGTTTAAATCCAATCAGGAAAATTGAAATTCGCTAAGTCTGCAGGTTTGCTGCGGCGGGGGTATTTTAGACACTCTATGTTAAATTCTAACCTCCCTGTGGAGGAGCAAACTGCTGAATTACGTAATATGTCTGAGTAATATGACTACACCTTAGCGAATTGAATGTATCGATACAACCCCAGCACAATGCATAGCACACCATTTGTCAACTCTTCACTCATACCTGCTTCTTTCTGCTACCCAACCTGTCTTATTTGGAGAACACTCAGTAGGCTATAACTTCTATTTTAACTATATGGTATTCTGGTAAAATTAAACACTAAACTCATTCTCCAGATAAAAAAATATCCATTAATTCATTACCTATCCAATTGTTGAAATCAATAACTTCTTCTAATCCTCCACATTTTGTAAAGTCCCCAGCGTGTATGAAAATGTCGCCATCAGGAATATCAAACTTGATGTGAGAAGTTAAAGAGTGTGTGTCACTCATACAAACAACTCGAGCCTAGAAAAAATGCCATTCATAATTTATCTTTATAGAATAATTAATTTATAAAACTCATTTTAAATAAACTTAATCAAAAACTATTTATTTACAAAAACAATAATCATGTAAACAAACCAAATAGCAGATGATTCATAACTTTATAACTCAGCTGATAACAATAATCCTACATTTCTCCCCGCCCAATTTAGGCTGAGTTTTCGAAACTGTGTTCATCTTCTGGTTCCGTTTGCATTTTCCATTGAGGTGGATCAGTTGCCCCTTCTCTTGCTCTCAGCTGGTCAGCGTGTTTTCTCTTTATTTCTCCCCCAACTAAAACTGTGTATGATAGCTCTCCCGTCCTTTCTTGGTCTCCAGCCCTTCTTCGTTTCATTTTGAACCCACACTTCTTGTTTGGCAGAAAACTCCTTTTGTTTAGATTTTAAGTCGTGGTAGTACTTCTGTCGCCACACTTGATTTTCTATTCTCTCTCTGCTATTACACCTCCACCTATCCAAAGCTGTTGGTATTCTTCTACCATAGAAAAGGACTGATGGTGGTTGTCCTGTGGTCTTTTGTGGGGTGTTTCGATAAGCAAGCAACACCTGTAAAAGTGCAAGTGATGAACTGAGACCTTCTTGTCTGCAAGCACTGTATCTACTCTTGAAGGTTCTGATAATCCTCTCTACTAAACCATTGGTTTTTGGATGATACGGTGTCGATGTGACATGACATATGTTATTGTTCTTACAAAAAGTCTTAAACTCATGGGACGTGAAGGGGGTGCCATTATCGGATACAATTTTTTTAGGAACACCATAGGCTACCTCGAAAACCAAGTCCTTAATCTATTTACAAGAGCAGCAGTTGTCGTACGGTCCATAACTTCGATCTCAACCCATTTAGAGTAGGCATCGATTCCTACTAACCAGAATCGGTTGTCAAATGGACCTGCGAAGTCGAGATGAATTCGCACCCAAGGATCACTTGGCACATTCCAGGGATATAGAGGTACTTCTGTGTCAAATGATCGGTTACTCTGGCAAGGGTGGCATACGGACATAAACCTCAACATCCTTACTCAGATTAGGCCACCATACATAATACCTTGATAGGGATCTCATGGCCTCTATTCCAGGATGTCCTTTGTGGAGTTCTTTTAATATATTTTCTCTCAAAATCTGTGGCACCACAATTCTTCCTAATCGCATGATTATACCGTTTTCTAATGTCAGCTCTTCTCTCTTATTCCAATATGGTTTCATGGATGGTGGTAAGTTTCCTGTATCTTTTGGCCAACCATGTTCCAGGTAGTCTATAAGTTTCTTCATATTTGGGTCTTTCTTATACTCCAGTACAAGTTCATGATTTGGATAAACGACGTCAATTTTCTCCTGAACCAATGCTCGAATCTCTCTCTCATCTGGATCCAATACTTCTTGTGTCTTGAGTGAAAACCTTGACAAAAAATCAGCCAAACAATTAATTATCCTGTCCTTTGATGTACTGGATCTCAAAATCATACTCCATTAAATACAAAGCCCAACGAACCAAACGGTTGTTTACTACTTTGGTAAGATCTCGATGCATTCCGAATATTCTTTCAAGTGGCTTGTGGTCCGTCCTCACCTTGAAATGTCTCCCACTGAGGTATTGTCTTAGCTTCTTCACTGCGAAAACTAACGCCATCGCTTCCTTGTCAACTGTAGCATACCTTTTTTCTGCTTCCGTTAGTGTCCTCGAGGCGTATATAACTGGCCTTTCCGTTCCATCCGGCATCAAATGTAAGAGCACTGCACCAACCCCTTGTTCACAAGCATCACATTCAATAATGATCGGCTTTGATATGTCGTATGGAACTAATGTCTTCTCTAATGACAGGATATTCTTCAACTTGTCGAACGTCGTTTGTTCGGTGTCAGTCCATTTCCATTTGGTCTTCGTACCAGTCAGCCTATGCAAGTTCGAAGCGATCGCATGAAGATTAGGTATGTACCTTTCGTAAAAATTTAGTGCTCCTAGAAAAGCTCGTAGTTCTTTCACGTTTCTTGGCCTTGGTGCGTTTCTTATGGTTTCAACTTTGTCTTCGGAGGGATGAATACCATTCCCATCTATTGTATGACCTAAATACTTTACAGATTTCTGAAAGAACTTACATTTTGATAGTTTTGCTCTTATTCCACTTGATTCTAGCCTCCTCAAAACTTCTCTAAGAGTGGTTATATGGGTAGTCTTATCATTACTAGAAATGATTATATCATCAAGTAGAACTCCGACATTAAGTCCTTTTAGTAAACTTTCCATGTACCTTTGAAATTTTGCCGGACTCGAGGAAAGTCCAAAAGGCAACCTTTTGTAGCGAAAGTAACCTACATGAGTTGCTATTGTAAGATACTTTTGTGACTCGGGGTGTACTTTCATTTGCAAGTACGCGTCTCGAAGATCTATGACTGAAAATATCTTTCCATCCGTTAATTTGGAAGTCAAGTCATCAAAGGTTGGCAAGAGGTGTCTTTCCGGGACGATGTTTGGATTCAAGGTTGTACGAAAATCGCCACAGATTCTTACTCTACCTCCGCCCTTGTCTACGTTGACTGTTGGGGTACTCCATTCTATCAGTGTTTCGGAAGGGTCCACTGCTTCCAAAACTCCTTCCTGTACTAATCTCTGTAATTCTTGCTCCACTGCCTCCTTTAAGGAGAATGGAACTCGTCGTGCCCCGTAAGATACAGGTTTTGTTCCACTTTTTAGATGAATGATTTCATTAGAGTCAGCTATCGTTCCTAGCTCATCACGAAAGAGTTTGGAAAACTCCTGAATTAATGCCTCAACTTCTTTTTGTAACTCTTTTTTATAACTTTCTTCGTTCTTACCTGCCTCTTTACTATTTGTCTTTCCATTGTCAATACGCCTAACCATTACTTCTCTAGGCAAATTAAGATTGAAAGCTACACTCCACGGCAACCCAAATAATGGAACATCTAGTAATACAATAACCGGCAATCGCTTAGTACGATTACGTAAAGTAACGTCCACAAAAGCCTTACCCATGACTTCTAGCTTATTTTTCCCATAGCCAGTGATGACATCAGACGTCTTTTTGAGAGATTCGCCACCTGAATTTATCTTATCCCAAAGAGATAAACTTATAGCACTTACCCGAGCCCCGGAATCAAACTCCATTCTAACATTATGCCCGTTCAATTCTACATCTATTGTAGCTCTGGGAACCTTACTCTTGACTGACCTAATTTGTGTTCCACTAACATCAATATCAGAACTACACTCATCATCATAAGTTTGATCACAAGAATCATCTACTTTTATCAAATTACCGTCTGTTCTTTTCATTATTTTTACTTTTGCACATTCTTGCGAAGTGGCCTCTCTTTGAACACTTCTTGCACACAGCAGAAAAAGCGGAACATCTATCTTCACTAGGGTCATGTGTAAACCCGCATCTATAACACCTATTGAAGCCAGTAGATTTCTGTACCTCTGGTTTCCTCTTTTCCTTACTGTCACTTACTTTGAAAATCTCATTTTTACACGCATGTTTGGAAACTTCTTCTCTCGCGCGTTCCATAGATTGAGCTAACTCTAGTACTACTGTTGACTTAACACGCTCACCTCGGTTATTAACTCCCTCGGGCCATCTTTGTCTGACTTCGACTTCAAATTCTGGACAGTTACTTCCTACTGCAAATCTATCTCGTACTCGTTCATCTAAGCTATCTCCATATTTACAACTTCTAGCTAAAGACTTCAGTCTGTTATAAAACAAAATAAATGTCTCACCATCTTTTCTTATGGCTCTATCAAACTCAAACCTTGTTGCAAAAAGGGTCCTTGTAGGCTTGAACAACCGGTTGGCTTCCTCTTTGACTTCGTCGTAAGTGCACTCCTCCCAGGCCCTTGGATACATCTGGTCCGACAGTGCCCTGAGGTGCTCCTCTCCGATATTTGCCAATAGAAGATCTCGCCGAGCCGCTTGTTCTTCTGAGTCAGCACCACCCAGTCCCTTAACTCTGCAGGTCAACTCAAAACGAGCTATGTAGTCTTCCCACAATTGTTCACTATTATACTCTTTAAATGAAAATCTGCTCATTCTATCTTGTATGCAAGACATGTTACTACAGTCAATTACACTCTTATACTGAGACTGGTCTGTTTTCCTATGCATTTTCTCGTCGCCAATATAGAATAATTAATTTATAAAACTCATTTTAAATAAACTTAATCAAAAACTATTTATTTACAAAAACAATAATCATGTAAACAAACCAAATAGCAGATGATTCATAACTTTATAACTCAGCTGATAACAATAATCCTACAATCTTCAATTACCAATTATTTAAGATGGGGACGCCACTATGTGCATATTTAGGTAAAACCTAAATCTAATATCGTTTGGTTAGTTAGGTTAGGTAATCTAACCTAACTAACCAAACGATATATCGAAAGAAAAAACCGATTAATCGATTTAAGTTATCGATCTATATTGAACGAGTGTAGGACCTAAAGTAAAGTGCAGCCCCGGACACGACTGCCGACACCCATTAAGCATATTTATATTAACAAAAACTACAAGTGCGGAGGAAAACTCCGCATGCGCCCGCTCGAGGGTTAAAGTGATAATCATTAACATTTTCACTAAGCATTTAATCAAGGACAGGTTAGGATTTCAAAGCCTCTAGTGAACAAGACTTTTAAAAATAAGGAGTTTCCACAGGCTAATATGCCTATATTGTAAGCTAACCCTAAAATGAAAGGGACAATCCTTGACTTAATCACACTATTAAGCCTACTTTTAATAAAAACCATAATATCCTACCTACCTTATTTTGGCTTACTTTTTCTTTAGGGATGTTGACATGGATTTTAATAACCTTCTGAGACTGGCTCAATTCTTTCCAAGCAGCAGTTGGGTTATTTGTTAGGGGATGAACTTCAACACTCATTTTAATGTTATTTTATATTAAAGTCAATTTTGACATGGAAGAGACATCAAAGCAAAGGGAAATTTAAAACCCTAGTTCTACTTTTACTTTACTTACTCCCATCCGACAAGCTCGACAAAAACACAACAATCACAAACAACCACTACCACACAACACAACACAACACAAACCACAACACAACACGAACACAACATAGGGTATAAGCATAGACGATTGGATACAGAAGTCAGGTATAAAAGCACAGAAAACGTACTAGTACGTTTTCTGTGATAAAAGTAACCGTTCCGCACATTTTTTTATTTCAGCTGCGGTTTTTCAATACGGACGAAATGAGAGTTAAAAATTATAAAATTAGTTTAATAATTTTAAATTTATGAAAAAATTTAAAATGGTTATATATTTTTTCTTAAATTTTTAATTAATTTATATTTATTTATTTATAATTACTTTTTAAAGGCTATAAAAAAATATAAAATTAATTTTATATGTTTTAAGTAGTTGTGATATTAAACTGATAACCTATGGTGTCAGGAGTGGAATACGAACCATGGAGGACCAGAAGTTGAGTCTGAAGCTGTTATTATCCAAATATATTATGTACTACAGTTAAGAAGTAACCGCGTTCTAAGCTAAATCGTTATCAAAAAGTTAATGGTATCAGTGGGATTCGATCCGGCTACCTTCAGTTCATCAGCCAGGAACGCTTCCACTGCACCACCGAGGCCGATGGCTCTATACCGTATCGTTGCGGTAATGGTGTTCCCTCAAGAGAAGAGATCTGATCTGACACTGACAGCTGACGTCATAAAAGGCTCGTCTATTCCTCCCTTGAGTAAATACCCTCTAAATCACGACGCCCCGCTCCGCTCCCAATCGATGTGTGATTTTTTAACCCTAAACTCACTCAGTCAAGTCAGTCAGTGCACTTGGGTAGTCTGCAGTGTGGTGAGTGTCTCTCTCTCTCTCTCTCTCTCTCTCTCTCTCTCTCTCTCATCTCTCGACTTCGTATGTCGACCACGGCCGCCTTTAACTCCAGGGGCCCATTTCATAATAAAGTAAAAAATAATATTATTAGTAAATCAGCTGATCACCCAATGCAAATCTTATGGAAATTACAAGTTACAAGTTGTAACTTGTAACTTGTATTTTATCATGAAATGGGCCCCAGGCCGTGGCCTTCGAAGTGGCAACGTCGCAAGTGGTGTTGTAACAGCTGTTTTGTTTGGAAGCAGCTAATAGTATTTGTATATTTACTAAAGATTATGGTTACTGGAACTATGACAATATTCGAATATTCCGCTTAAAATGTACATATATATATATTTAACTCATATTGTTTCGTCTTTCAGTTCTGTATGTTTTATTTTATTTATTTATTTGTTTTATTACAATGCTGCTAAACAGGATAAACCCAGTTACATTGTAGCATTGATATTCTAACAACAAAATCTTGACATGCATGATAAATAACCCAGGCTTGCCCCCCATGCATGATAAATAGCCCCACCCCCCACATTCCCTGCTCAGCCCTAGACCCAATATGTCATCAGGATTCACAGCTGTTATTTCAATATTTTAATAAATTTATGTTCATAAATTTAAATTTAAATCATTAAGGTGCGAATTAATGGCTGTCACCTGTCCGCCATGTTATCTTAGGGCCATGTCATACGAGCGCTATTGCCGTTGCGCAGATGCCGTCGAGATAGCGCAGGAAAAAGTACATGTCATACGTGACGGCAAATGCGTCGCGTTGATGCCGACCCGCCAACGCCAGGTACCTGTCATACGTAGCGTCTTCAGGGCGCATTTGCCGTCGCGGCAAAGATGGACACCATCCAGTTAGGTTGTATCAGCTTTTTGCACATTTTAGATACATATGAAGAGTACCATTTTAATCAAAGGAACAGCATTATTTTTATTAATATAAAACAAGTAAAACTGATTTCCACATCTGATTCCAGTTTTCGTGCATGGCCTCCCAATCCTCGTTCCAGCACTGTGCCTTCAGTTGCCTGTTGCTGTAATCACTCGACTTTACATCGTACAGAGGTGGCAGTTTTTCAACTAAATAAATACATTTTTCCGTATTGAACATCGTATCAAATATCGTAATGATCACTCCAAAGGTGTTCCAGTAGTTGTTCTGTCAGTGCTCACGCGGCAAATGCGTCCCGCTGGCGCTAGCGCTCGTATGACAGGGTCCCGCTTTACGTGCGCCGCGTTGCTAACGCGACCGTCCGCGTTGGCAGCGCTCAGCGTCCGGCTAACGCGGAACTGACGACGGCATTAGCGTCCGTATGACATGCTCCATAAGAACCCCATTGCCGGGTTGGAGCGACTTTAACGCGACGGCATCTACGCGACGGCAATAGCGCTCGTATGACATGGCCCTTATGGGACGTCTGTCACTAAACAACACCACTTGCGACATTGCCAATAATTCTACCAGTCCGCGGCCTGTAGTTAAAGGTGGCCGTGTGTCGACAGATGCGCCACCCGCGCCAGGCGCCACGCCACCACTAGTAGTGTAGTGACTGACAGATCGCTGGCTGAATTCGAACTCTTACTTGGTTGTCTTTGTCTAATGTCTAGTTGAATGAAGAGTTGAAGTTGAGTTGAGTGGACCAGTTGACTTTGACTGAGTTGAGTTGAGTTGCAGTTGAGTTGAAGTTGAAGTTGAAAGTTGGAGTGAAGTCGTCGATCGTGTTGCGAATGTGAAAGTGTGATTTTGATTAATAGGAACTTAGCAACACCGGTTTACTTTTTATAATCAATAACTTATCCTCTAATCTTTATAGGCCACAAACCCTTCTGTGTACTAGAACTATTGTTATATTAGGGAATATAAATATCGCAATTTCAGTACAGTAGGAACCGCTTTAAGTTGACTTTCTTTGTCTAAAGACGCCTCAATCAAGATTGCAACAGCAGCCCTGGTAGAAAGTTCAAAGATAACGCAACATACGATCATTGACTGACCTGGCTTCTTGGATTTTCTGACTAATCAAGTTGGATTTGGTTTAGTTTGACTAAAATGTCGGACCAATACGTCTTTGAATTGTGTTATAAACGACAAGGAAGGAGCCCTGATGAAAAAGAAACTCAATTCGTGATAATTGATGGCTCTTCAATGGCAGATTTCTGCAGACTGAGGGAAGACTTGGTAAGCCCTTATAGACTTAAGTAGGACATATCCTTTGTGAGCCTAAGCCTCTGCCCTATGCTGTCACTGGCTTCATAAACTTTATCATGACAAATTTATTTTCTTTTGGCTAAGGCAATAAGTTATGACTAAGTTTAGGCCTAGCTGGTGTGCAACCCAACCCATCTTTACCTTAGGCCTATGGATACTGAACTAAACTGGTCCCATGAGGGATAGGCCTAGGTTTAGGATAGCCTTAGTTTTGGTAATTATTTGATAGGCTATAGGCCTATCGGCAAATATTTGATACATCTACAATGCGATATTGTGTAATTTTTAGATGTCTAAAAGTATTTTTCACGCTGAATCCAAAAATGCAATCAGTTTTTGTCAGAGAGATTCATAAGTGGCCGTAAAACGAAGGTTAAAATTACAAATCCAAGGTTCATTGAGCTTACTGATGGTAAGTTACGGTACCTAATATGGCGTGGTCTGGACGGGTCCGTATGTGGACTGAGTGAGGAGGAGAGCAAACAGCTGTTTTATAGGTACTCGACTTAATGCGGAATGAAATCAATTTGTTTTGAAACCAAATAATCAGTTCTTATTTTAAGCATGTGAGGAAGGTAGGGCCTAGGTCGGGCTTTACACGGATTCGTACCTGTATTAGGCCTAAGTGTTTTGAAGTGAGGTTAGATTAGGAAGGTAGGTAAAGGTTAGGTTATAATGAACCGACTCATTAATTTATGCAACTTCCAGACTGTTTTTGCAAAATTAAATAGTGGGTGAAACACAATGAAATAACGATATCAAAAACACTTTGATGCGGGAGCTGAGGGGGCCCGCAAACCGGTGAGTGGGAAACGGTGAGCAGAGAGGCCCGTGAGACGAGTGGGGCTGAAAAATTGGAGTTCATTCTTATTTAAATGTATTATCAATCATTCAATAATTGTATTGAACAAGTAATGACATTGATGTCATTAATAATAATGTTGTTATCAGGTATCGTTTAATTTCGTTAGGCCTCTTCAGTGATAATGAACTAGGGTAACAAATTCAGCGTGTTATAACGTGGGTCTTTGCAATTTTACTTTTGTCAATGAGAATACTATACGGTAAAATATGCATTTTAGGGTTTACGCGATTTTTGAAAATTTTTTTCATTCTACTCGAAATTTAACGCTGATTCCGAAAATGACGTTCTTTTCCCGCGGAAAACGACCATAACACGGAAAAATGACCAAAACGACCAAAAATTTGTTTTTACCAAAACACGTAATGTGGGTACTCAAATTAACCGTAATATTAAGCAGATCACGACTATGTAAGAATTTTTAGGATCCGAGGTCAAATAAGCGAGATTTTTACGAAAATCTGAGATGCTATTTTGAATTTTTGCTCCAACTTTTGTCTGTGTTGAAATACCAGCTGATCAGGATCAGCTGGTCATTATTTTATTATAAGGCAAATATTTGAAATATCAACAACGCGATATTATGTACTTTTTTGATGTCTACTTACAGTATTTTTCACGCTGAATCCAAAAATGCAATCAGTTTTTGTCGGAGAGATTCCTAAATGATCGTAAAACGAAGGTCAACATTACGAATCTAAGGTTAATTGAGGTATACTGATGGCAATATGGCGTGGTCTGGACGGGTCCGTATGTGGACTGAGTACTGAGTGAGGAGGAGAGCAAACAGCTGTTTGTATTCGACTTAAATGCGGAATGAAATCAATTCGTTTTGAAACCAGAGATAATCAGTTCTTATTTAGGCATGTGAGGAAGGTAGGTCGGGTTTTATGCGGATTCGTGACTGTATTAAGTGTTTTGACGTGAGGTTAGATTAGGAAGGTAAAGGTTAGGTTATAATGAACCGACTCATTAATTTATGCT